ATATTCATGAAGTGCACGTATGCCAAGTTTAACTTATAAATCAGAACACACCAGAAGTCAATTTATATGATGTGTCTTTTCATCTAAAAGCTATACACATGGAGAGTAAACATTTGTTTTCTTCACAAAAAAATTTGTTTTGTATGTTGTTCCCAGAAGTGGGAGAGTGACTGAAATGTTTTGTATAGCTTGTAAATCCCCACATTATGTGGCTCCTATTGCTTTACCATCCCTACTTCCCAACTGGCGTTGGATGTGGTTTTCATTCTTGGTAACTATTGCTTGCTTATGATTCACTCCCATCTTCTTGTATATATATATATATATATATATATATATATATATATAAATTTTGGGAGGGGGGTCCCGGTCGTGGGGCCTGAACTCTGGGCCTGAGCGCTGTCCCTCAGCTCTTCAGCTCAAGGCTAGCGCTCTACCTCTTGAGCCAGAACTCCACTTCCGCCTTTTTTCTTTTTGCTTATGTGGTGCTGAGGAATCGAACCCGGGGCCTCAGGCATGCAAGGCAAGTGCTCTACCACTGAGCCACCTTCCCAGCCCTCTTGTATATTTTTGTATACTTCTTTTTCAGTTCCTCCTCATCTTTTGTATGGTAATGATAAGAACACCTGTTTTGTGTAATGACTGCACACTTTCCTCATTGAACAATTATATGGTAACAGGCAAATCATGGTTTCATTAATTGTATACATGTTCACTTTTTTCCTGAGAATTGGAGGCAGAATTTGCTGTTTTCATCCACATATGAAAAAGCACAGAGGTATACAAAGTGTAGATTTCAGAACTCAAATCTCCACTGGATTGTTTAATGTGTCAGAGTATGGACTTAATTTTAAATTCATAACTCAATTATAATTGGATTTTTACTCTCTGTAATGTTATATATGGGGAGTGAATAAAGAATTCCTGTTTGTTTTTTTATTCTGAAAACAGCAAAACCTTATTCTCCTAGAATTTATTTGCTCCCACTCCGTCTATCTTTGTATCATCCTTTCACAAACTAACCTGTTAGTTTTATCATCACTTCCATAGTGATTCCTCACCAAATCGGACACTCTTCAAGGCCAACTGAATCTGGTGATCGCCTCAATTTTTCGCTTATCCATTCAGATAGATGAGTCCTTCCTAAGAAGTGCTATCATGTGTTTAGACTTCTTTCTTTCCCAAGATATTACTTGTTTTCTATCCTCCCTTGAACTATTTCATTTTCTTTCTTTTATTTTTTTTTGTGCCAATCCTAAGACATGAACTCAGGGCCAATCTGCTGTCCTTCATCTTTTCATGCTCAAAGCTGGTATTCCACTACTTGAGTCATAGCTCCACTTCTGTCTTTTTGGTGGTTAATTGGACATAAGAATTTAAAGGATTTTCTTGTTTGGGCTGATCCTGAGTAGCTAGGATTACAGGTGAGAGCCATGAGCTCCCAGCTTTTCCCATTATGTCTTTACCTAATATTTCACACTCATAACTTAAGCCACTAAGAGTTCATTAATTATTATATAAAATTTCATTGGGTTCCATTGTGTGTCTCATCCGCAGGCATCAATGAATTTCATTCTCCATCACACTCTTCAAAATAAGTGTGTTGCTGGAAAAATATAGTAGGGAAATCTGTACCAGCTTCCTTTGGATATTTCACCCTGACAATAACTATCATGTTTTTCTGTCTATTGTTGCTTTTCTTGCTGGAAAGTCTTCTGCCTTTGAACATGAGTCTTCTGCTAGAATGCTTATAATGAGAAAGAGAGAGAGAGAAGAGAGAAACAAAGACAGAGAGACAGAGAGATAGAGAGAGACAGAGAGATAACAAAAGAAAGCAGCAACTCTTTTCTTATTCAAGACCATCCCTTCTCAGTTTCTAGATTATTTTGTTATGGTTTCCTTTTCTCGAAGATGAGAAATAGTAATACTCTGAAGCTTAATATTTTGAAAGAAGTATTTTTTGTTCTGCTTCTCTACTCTAGCTACTACCACTTCACTCTTCATTTTGGTGCTATAATCTGATTTTAAAATATTTTAATAACCAATTGAACCTTAAAAAGCAAGACCAATTATATGCCACATACGAAACTCATGGAGTGAGTTTCTTCTTGTCTGAAACTTCAGATCCTAAATTCACAGATTTATGAACAGAGAATGGTACATGTATTTGTTAGAAGATATGAAAGATTGAAGTGAGACAATTGAAAGGTTTTAGGTTTTAGGTTCTCACCTGAAATATTAAACATTTATTAGCTGGTAATAGTCATATCTGGATGGATGCTAATATTCCAAAAGAATGTCAATAACTCTATTTGGTCTAATTAGTTAATTAATAACCTAATCTGTTCTTTTTTAAATAAGTTTTTATTGTGAAAATACTGTACAGAAAGGTTACAATCACTTGAACAAGGTAATGAGTACATTTCTTATGAAAAACATTCCCACAAAAATTATTTTGCTCTTACATACAGTGGTTTTTAACTGAAGAATATTTAATTTTGAAAAATCTCTCTTCCTGTTATCTTAATCCTGACAGTTGGCAATGAAGAAATAAATAATGTAAATATATGTTTATGGAAAAGAGTATATGGAGATTCATGAGATAAAAACTTTAAAGCTTTATGCAGAGGAAGAACTTCTCTGCAAATTCACCCTTACCTCCTATGTGCCCCTTGTATTGCTACAAATTTTAGAGTAGTTTATGGATGCAGTAGTTTATATCTTCTTTGTAACAGACTTTTGAAAGCTATGAGATGAAATATTTAATATTTAAAGTGAGGTAGCTGCTCAGAAGTGATTTTAAATTCATTGACTATGGAAATGAAGTCTTAAGTGATATGAAAAATCAGTATAAATCTGTACACAAAATCTTTTACAAATTGAGAAGACCAAGATATTAGAACTCTGAGTAATACTTTACAATGTGTGTTTCATATGGGGTTTTGTTATTGTTTGTTTTAATTTTTTGTAGGTTGTGGGGCTTGAACTCAGGGCCTGGGTTTTGTCCCTGAGCAATTTTTGCTCAAGGCTAGCTCTCTTTCACTTGGAGCCACAGCTGTACTTCTAGGTTTCTGGTGGTTAAGTGGGGAAGAGTCTCATGGCCTTTTTTACATTGGTTGGCTTTGAACCATGATCCTCAAATCTCAGCCTCATGAATAGCTAGGATTAAAGATGTGTGCCACCATTTCCCAGCTTCTTGGGTTTTTTAAAAATAATTTCTTTTACAATTTATTTTCAAGTATTTTTATTGATGGTTATTAAATTTATTAAAAAAATAGTGAATGAAGATCTGAAGAAGATTTCACTGTGTGCATATTGTATCAAGTTTTTTATTGAAAAGATTCCTAGATAGCTGATAAGTTAGAGATTATTTTGCTCCTGGTAGTGAATGGCCCCAATGCTTTTGGGCAATTATCCTGGAAAGCTCCTGTGTCTCCCTTTTCTTCAGAATTTATGATAGAGTTCACAGATTTTGTGTCAACAAAAGCATTCCAAATCTATAAAATACTAAACTTAAGAAAAATGACCTTTTTTGTTCTTAATTTTTTATCTGTTCATTTATGAGGTGAAAAATATAATGTAAATTTCTCTGACATTATGATGCCAATTATTTTCATACTTTAGGTTGTTATTTATGTGAAAATTTAAAGAGCTTTCCACAACTGTTCTAGAGCTAAGGCCAAAGAATACTCATTTTTCCAAAGTGCTCATTTTATTAAAAATACATGGTTTCTCTGAATGAATGCCTTTAGAAGAGGCATGTGCAGGGTGTTTCATTGCACGTCAAGCTTTTCTTTATAATGATGGTGCAATGCAAAAGAAAATGCTCTAATGTGTTTAAATCTCTAAAAGAAAATTTTCTGCTTCATATTTTGTTGGATAGAACATATTTTATGAGTTGTAGTAACAGTTTCATTTTTCTAAGAATTAGTCTATTATGCTTAAGTAGAAATTTTAAGCAATATTACCATTGCTTTTTTTTGTTGTTGGATTATTTAACTTCCAGATTTTCTCAATGCTTCTACTGCATCCCAGGAATAAGTTGGCACTTCCAAACGCAACAGTGAAGTCAATGTTGTTTTGCAATGGTTTCTGGTAATATTAATGAAATAAATCTAGCTCATTATTTTTTCAAAGCAACATTTACAAACACCTGTTCAAATAAATAAGCATTTCTGTTGAAAGCCTGCATGACTGGCACCAACTTAACGTTTATTTTTTCCAGTTCAAATAAAGGAAAGATGTAATTGGGCAAGGCAAGAAGAGCTATCCAATTCTTTTTCATTTCCTTCTGTTTTTATTACTGGTACATACATATTTACAAAACAATTTTCATTGCAGCGCCTGTTAGAATAGAACATATCTGAACTTGGATTGGGTGTTGAAATTTGATTTTTTTCCCCAAAATAATGTTTAGGGAGTTGGAGCCCAAATCTACTAAGAACTGTGACCAATTTTTATGAGAATAAGAATCCAGGGTGTTTGATCTTCAGATCAGACAGTGCTTCATCTACTTGGAGAAGCTACCTCTACAGAAGTCTTAGTATGCATTTTTCTTGAACTTTAGCACTAGTCTCCTAAGGCTATTTAAAATTAGAGTGCCAATCAGCAAGCAGTTGTTTCTCTTTGTAAAGTAACAGAGATGAGGCCAGACGTAAAGAATGTTCTTTACCAAAGTGCTTTGATTTTTCTCCTGGGATGTATTAGAGGCTGGGAAAATGTGGCCATGCATGTTTCAGAGGTGGCTCATGCTCAAGATAGACTCATTGGTCAACGATTAGCACTCTGCCTGACCAAATTTTTGGACACAGTGAGTATGTGTATCATGGTGTAATTAATAACAAAAGGAAAAAAAAGCACCATGTCATTCTCATATCTGAGAATTCTCACATCTGAAATAATGCTCTTATTTTATTCCATGGCTTTCTTTGGATTGAAATGTATCCATTAACATTTGTGTGCTTTTCTTTTTCATCCATCCTTCTCCATCTCATGAAAAGCACATCTGGGTAAGTTGGCTCACAATGGCTGCTGAACATGATGATTTTCAGCACCATCTTCTTTTCTTTTATCTGTAGTGTTTCTCTTTTCCGTTGTGACACAAGCTGCACTGCCTCTGACCTAAAGTGAAAATTGTAATGTGTATTCATTTCCACACAGGAAAGAAAGGAATCATTGGTTCAGAGAAATATTCAAATTAAAACAACTTATGTTGGCCTTTCAGGAACTTGTATTGCTTTGATTCTAGTAGATACACATCAAGAGACATTCTCAGAGGTCATTTTCCCTAGTTCTCACGACATTCCTCAGGAGCAATGGGACACACAGTAATACATGAGTGATAGTTGCAGGATTTGCTGTTGCCCACTGTGTTGCATGATGGAACCTGCTTTCTCTATGGCTTGTGGCTCAGCTCCCTGTGTATTCTATTCAGGGGATAAACTTACTTGCCAAACTACAGAAACTGCACTCAGCTAGAACAGGTCAAATGTTAAGTTTTCCCAGCAAAACGTGTACACCTAGGGATGCCAAAGCAATATTTGATTTTTGGCTAAATACGTATTCATCACAGTACTTCTTGTTCTACTGGTTAAATTTTAAATATGAAGAAAAGAAAATCCATATCACTCAGATAACTTTTAATTTAAAAATCCTCCTCGGGACAAAGCTTACAGGGTACCATCTAGTCATAAAACAAATTGAGTTTCCAGGTATAAAGTAAAATAAAATATGCATAACATTTATCAAACATTTACATTGCTAGACTTTTGCATTGGCAGCATGGTAAGCTCATTAAAACATTATGTATTGGAAGACAGAGGTACTTTTAGATTAAAGCCACTTGCTCTTTTCATAAATGAAATGGCTCCAATGAGATGTAATTATCTAGGAAGTAAAGGAAAGAATTGATACAGGATTTATGAGTATTTTATATATTAATGCAAGGTGATATACTCTGTAATAATGTTTTATTGATTAGTATTTTTGTAGTTTGTCTCTGATTTTGAAGATCTAGATCTTCAAAATTAACTATTATTGCTATTATCAATAATAGTTAACACTGCAATACTCTTTTCAATTAGGATAATTTATGAGACAAGGAAAGCTCTGATGAGATGCTCATAGAGCTCTGTTTGGAATGCTAGACAGACAGATGATCAAATGAGCATTACAAGCTTATACTTCAAAAAGAAATACTGATACTCTAAACATTGGAACTTTAAAGCACTGTTTTCATGTCATCATATACATCTGATTTTCTATTTTCTGATGGCTTTTGAGTTTCATTAGCGTTCCTTGGTTAACTAATTAATTAGAATTCCCAGGAACATCATCCCAAGAAATAAAATGTAAACTCCCAGTCCCTGAAGGAATGAAATCTTAAAAATGAATGATCCATTGTTATAAATGGGCTGTAAGATACTGATATCATTGCTTTCATTCTAAAAGTGAATTTCGAGTTGTCTTGCACATGCTCATAGAACTTAATTGAAGCATCATGATACTTCAAAATTATTGCACTAATGCAGTCACTAAAATAGAGTTCAGGAGGAAACAATGGAGGGGGAAAGATACCACAAACATGGTGAAGATGACTGGGGAAGGTCTAAGCTACCTGTGTCACTCAATTAGGAATTCAAAACAAGATTGAATTGAAGTCCCACTTCTTCCGTTTGATTATTTCATCCCCTGTGCATCCCAGTACTTTCGGTGCTTACTGGTAAAAGAATATATAACCTGAGAATTAAATTGGTAATTGAGGTTGCCAACTCAAGCTGAGTGAAAGATGTCTTAAAATTAGATGAAACACTTAGCAATCTATCTAAATGATAGCCTCATGATTTTTAAAATTAACAATGCTTTACAGTAAGTCCTCAATTATTGTCCGAAAGTTCAGCCAACAGGGTCTTACCAAAATGAAATTGTTTAATGGAAAGTAATACAGGCCCCCTTGGTTTTAAATAACCACATTAGTAATTGCATTGCTTTAACGTATTTGTGTTAATGTGTTTACACCTTTTTTATTGGCTTTAAAAATAATTAAGTTTGGAAGTGGAGCTGTGGCTCAAGTGCCACTTGAGCGGAAGAGCTCAGGGACAGCACCTAGGCCCAGAGTTCAAGCCCCATGACTAACAAAATAATAATAATAATAATAATAATGTTCAAACTAAATTGAAGAAACTGAAATTCATAAATATTTTTCTCCTGAGAGTATGCCCTATATTTCAGACCAGATTGAAGATTGAATGTGAATGAATTGGGTACTTAATATAATCAATTTCTTTCAAATGGAGAAAACTTTTGCATGTTATTTGAGTCTAGATAAGACACCACTTTTCAAATGTTTTGTGGATTTTTGTACATTGTTGTTGAATGTGGAAATGTAAAGTAACAGGATACACACACAAAATTACAGAATGTTATGCTTCCAAAGTCAATCAACCTTAATGTTGGATTTGAAACTGAATTTTGTGATGCTAAATACATATATTTAGGTAATCAGTGTTCTGAAGCAGCTGATTGAGATTTGTGACATATTTCCATTTAGAATAATTATGTTAACTAAGATGTACATTTTCAGCATACAGATGTTAGAAAAATAGTTTAGACAGCACAAGACTTCGTTCACATTTGCTGACTAGAATTTCAACTAGTTGTTCACACTAGTTTAATTTTCAAAGAATTAAGAGAATTGATCTACAAATGTGTATTCCTGAATGATAGGTTTTTAATAAACTCATTATAAACCAGCATGAACTCCAACTCTCAATCCATCTACCTCCATCTCACATCCCTGGTGCTAGAACTACATAGAAGTGCTACCACATCAGTTGCAATAAGTTTATTCTATAGCTCTAATTTGAGTAAAATCATATCTTACTTACCCTGTTAAATGTTGGATTTAAATGGAACAAGGAAGATTGCACAGTTAGCACTCATGTAAAGTAATATTGTACATGGGAGATTTATTCCCTGGAAATGTAGATTCAACTGCCAAACCTTTGATTTGTATTTTATTTTTATCAATTCACATATTTTTTTTCTGGGTTTATCAATAATTAAGTACTTGTTATGTGCAACAGTACATCAATAAGCCACAAAGGTACTTTTTCAACCATAAAAGACTATATATATATATATATATATATATATTGCAGTCATACAAAACCAGTTGAACTGAAAATAAATAACTGCATATCAACTTTTCCATTTCAATCCTACAAACTAAGCCAATATTCATTTATTCAAGATGTAGAACCTATTACTAGGCAGTGAAAAGAGTCAAACTTCCTTTTTGTAAAAAAATAATGTTGAGGATCGATATATGTGACAGTAATTGATATGAACTGTAAACATTTACCAGATAGTCACATAAATGTATGGTAATTCTAAAAATAACTAAGCCACAGTAAAGGATTGATGCTGTTCATTTTATGCTCACAGTGAGAAAGGTACTATTATTCTCCTTTTATAGTTATAAAGTTTCAGAAAGTTAATTAGCTAAAGGACAGTGTGACTCTGAACAAGTTGTGAAAGCTGAAAGTTTTTCTTCTCCCATTCAATGGCTCTGTAACTTCACATGGCCTCAATTGTTGAGTGTGCTAGCCAAATACTAATGTGGGTAAGAACACACCTTTCTGAACTGTTGTAAAGATGAAACAAGTTGAGATAGATAGATAGATAGTATATATATTACTCAAGATAGTGCTAAATAGATGATTAATAAATATACACTAACTTTTATTATGAAGCTCAATACCTAATTAATCTGTGTCTGGAAGCTTTGATCTTTTAAACCATTGTATTGTATTTCGTAAGACTTTAAAGTATTTCAAATAAACAAATAAGCAAAAGAACATTTTAGATAATTCTCTACTATAACACTGACTTAAATTGTAATATCATTTATTCACAGTACTTAAATGATGTTATAAATGTTAAATGAAAATTATACTCAGAAAATTAACTAGAGAATATTCAAGTTTTAATTTTGTGAAAGAGAATTAATTCTCCTTGGAAGAGGACTTGGAATGGTGACAAGAAAGAAGTAAAAGTCTGAGTATTATATATGAAGGATGAGATACAGTTGTTATGAATATGAAATAACTTGCATTGAGATCAATTTAAAATAATCCTTAGGGCTGGGAAGGTGGCTCAGTAGCAGAGCACTTGCCTTGCACGCCTGAGGTCCTGGGTTCCATTCCTCAGCACCACATAAGCAAAAAGAAAAAAGCCGGAAGTGGCGCTGTGGCTCAAGTAGTAGAGCGCTAGCCTTGAGCTTGAAGAGCTGAGGGACAGCGCCCAGGCCCAGAGTTCAGGCCCCACAACCGGACCCCCCCCAAAAATAATAATAAAATAAAATAAAATAATCCTTAGCTGTGAAAAAGCATCAATCCAGAGGAGGCTAAAAGGATAAGCCAAAGGTTAATAGTTGCTGAGAAGCAAATTGAGATTCATTCAGTCATTCAGTGAAAATGTCTGGCATCCATACTGTGTGCCTGAATTCCTATCCAAAACCCTGTCCCCATCTCTACTTTCACAGCTTAGGAGCACAGCACCATTATCTGCAACAACCATCTAACCAGTATCTGTAACTCAAAACACTGGCCTCACAGTTGTCTATCTATCAACAGCCAGCATGACCTTTATAATAGAAAAAAATGTTGCATTCCTGTGCTTGTGCTTATACTTTCTGATGACTTGGGAAAAGCTCTTTGCTATAGCCTCCAGGTCCACTAGGACCTTGCTTCACTCTAGGCTGTTTCTCCAACTTCATCCCCTCAGCCCTTACTCTCTCATCCCTAAACACATCTGTACCATGCTGTCCTTGCCTTCTTTCTTTTGCTCAAATAACCAATTCCAATCCTTTCTTTTGCCTGAGACATTTTCCTACAAAACTTCCATTGCCAGCCCCTTTTCAACAGGTGTATCATGAATTCAACTATTGCCTCTTCTAGGCCCTGCCCGACACTAGAGACAACGTAATTCTAATTCCAGTCACTCACCACCTAACTACCTTAATCTAGTTTACCGTTGGTTGGAATATATCAATGCCTCAAATTATTTTGCTGACTTCTTTCTCTTTTTTTTTTTAAGACCTGGTTACACTTGGTAACCCAGGTTGGATTTGAACTCAAGATTCTCTTATTACAAGTGGGTGCCACTAGCTTTGCCTTGTATATTTATTTCTATTTGTATTAACATAAATGTTCTTCCTCACTGGCATATAGAATCTTTGAGATTGTGAGGCTCTGTGGGCTTTATCCTGTTAGCTGAATACAAAATGTGGCATACATCAAGCCTATTAAAAATCAGATGACTAGCTACTGAACCAACTCAGTCACCGGGCTTATAAAATCCCACTGTTGAGCCCTAGGAAAGACCAAATTATCAACCACCAAATTCAATGAAACATTAAAAGCACAGTAGGAAAGATTGCTCAGTCCTATGGGACCTATAAAATGAAGAAGTAAAAATATATTGCCTCAGGGCCAAGGTGATGATGGTTTCAGAAAGGAAGCAGATTGAGCTGGTGGCCTAGTGTATGTCAGGCTCTGTGTTTGATCTCCAAAACCACAAAGTTAGAAAATAAAAAAATGCAGGGAAGGAGGAAAGGAGTAGAAAAAGTAGGAAAAGAGGAGGAGACGAGGAAGGAAGGAGATTTCTTGAACCTGGTAACTGAAGATGAAGTTGCATAAGGGGCATAAGGCACAAAGACATGTGGGTGCTGCTCTTTGCTTAGCATGGTAGATACGTATTTTGCATATGCAAGATAGGACGCTCCTCTTTCCCCAGCATTCTCACAGACAGATACAATGGCAATTGCTGGATAAATATTAAACCTAAAGAAAGGAGCTTGACATTTTCCTGTGTATTTAGCCATTTAAGCAAAAATCATATGTGCGTAGTTTTGATTAAGAGCTAGAAATTACAAGAATAGCTTAGTACTCTGGATGTATCTACATTTAACTGACATTTTCAATGTTTTAAAAAATGTACAAGTCTTCAAGTCTTGTCTCTCTCTCTTTCTCTCTCTCTCTCATACACACACGCACACAGACACACAGATACACACACACACACACAGTTCTGGGGTTTGAACTTAGGACCTCACACAAGCTAGACAGACATTCTACCACGGAACCATGTCTCCTCCCCTACTGTTTTGCTACTTGTTGATTATGATTATGCCCCTGAGCTATGACACACAAATTTGAGGCTTCCTCTAAGTGCTGAGATGAGAGGTCTATGGCATTATGTCCAGCTTCCTTCTATTGAAATGGAAATTCCTAGACATTTTGGTCTGAGCTGGCCTCAATCCAGGCCTGGGAAACACATAATATTTTCAGAAATGAACTGTATGAGTTATATAAAAGCCATTTTAAAAAGTTAAAATACTTGATCAATTTGATACCATGACTAATTCCATAATAAAAGCTGGATTATAAAGCCAAGGTGATCCTATTAAGTTAAAGTCTGATCATATAGCCACTCTACTCATAATTCCTAACCATTGTCTCACCGAGAAGAAAAATCAGTGCAGCCCTTAGGACCCAGTCTGCCATCTCAGTTCTCTAATTCAACTCCCACCTCACCCAGATATACTAACCCATACTCAAATCACATCTTCTCTCTGACCATTTCCTTCCCTATATTCTCTACCCCTACCACCATCATGCATTTCCTATCTGGACCTTCCTTTGATTTTTCTTCATGAAACTGACTTTCTAACATAATGTAACTTTTACTGTTGAATCTGTATTTGTCTAGTAAAATATATTCTCAAGAAATAACAGATGACTTAATATGTTCTGTTGAGTGACACATCATAAGTTTGTAACACAATTGTGCTTCCTACTATGTATCTCTTTGAGATTTTTTCCTGTGTCCTTACTGCCAGTTCAGTTGCTGCAATGCCATCACTATTCTAACTACTGCTATTCACCAAAACAATGGCTGTTAACAACTGAAATCCTCATACTCAGCATGTTCAACTCTGACCCTAAGCAACTAGTTTTATGTTGCATACAGTGGAAAGTTACATGTATTTATTTTTGTTCAGCAAATGATCTCATGTCTCTGTGTTCCATACTAGCACAGTCATAGATTGTAGCAGGTACTCAGTAAATATCTGAGAGCTTCTTTTTCGATCTTTCATTTTGTGTCTACAAACACAGCTCTCTTGGTGACACTAAGCTACTCAAACCTGATTTTTTAATGAAGGAACATCATTGGCAAACCCAAAGGGAACAGATGGTAATGGAGAAGGCAAAAAAGGAAATGCCTGTATATTTCACTTAGCATTCAGGGTATCAATGTTGCTGTCCATTTTCTAAGTCCTCAAAGCATATATATACAACTTAATTATAAAATACACTCCAGGTTGAGCACTTATGCCTGTAACCCTTGTTTCTCAGGAGGCTGTGATCTAAGGATCACAGTTCAAAGCCATCCTGAGCAGATAAGTCCCTGTGAGACTCTTATCTCTAACTAACCACTCAAAAACCAGAAGTGAAGCTAAGGCTCAGAGTGTTTAAGCACTAGCCTTGAGCAAAAGACCTCAGGGACAACTCCCAAGCCCTGAGTTCAAGCCCCAAAACTGACAGAAAAAGGAAAAAAGAAATCCACTTCCATCAAACAACAATTAATTTATGTATCTCTTCAAGCATTGTAACTTCATTTTTTGCCTTACTCCTTTAACTAGATCTTTTATTAGTATTATCTATTGTAAATCTAGGAAGGCTTTGTGTTGAAAGCCTTGCTATCACATATTGTAATGTACAAATATAGCTTATCTCAATAAGGAGCTAGTTGATTAACAGCAAGAAATACTCAAATGCATTATTTGGGGGACAATTTAATACTCATGATACACTCCTAAGCACACAAAATATATCCATTTGAAGTAAAGCAATCTTTATACATTTGTTTGTATATATGATTATGGTATTTAAAAGTACAGACAATATATTTCTCTATATAATCCAGGGAAGATATATAATAGTTTGAGATTCAATGGAAATACATACTTGTTATCTCAATAATATATGCTTTCCTTTTGGTTTTACTATGTGGATATCATCTGTAACATCTTACTAGTAGAGACAATGAAACTATACCAGTCACTGTCAAGCCTGTTAAAATGACTTCGTTTACAAACAGTATTTATTTTCACTGGAACATTCTACTTTCATTAAAAAGGGTAGCAATTACAAGTGAAAATAAGTATACTATTGAATTTCACATTTTAAGTTACTTTCTAATGATGAAAATCAATTTATATTGGCATTCCCTTCAAAGGAGATGTGTTTCTTTCAGCTATCTATGGGTGGCCAATGATTAGAGTGGAACATGGAAAGGTGTCACTAACACATGCATGAGCTTTTGGGTTTGAATGACTTCAGAACAGTGCAGCTACTTCGAAGTTTCAAGCCAGAGGCCACAGGCTTGAGTGCTTTTGTTTGATATTACTGTGTTTTGGTCTTTAGTAGGCACATTCTTTCTTATGTACCACAAACCTCAGTGATCCTGGCTGTCTTCCTTTATTGCTTGGTGTACCTTTGCCTGATATGTCTTTTGCCATCTTAATATATATTCAGTTTTGATAAATGGTGCATGCCATGCTTGAAATGCATGTCTCCTAATTGTTGAAGCTAGGATATTCTATAAATGAGATTTTTCCAAATCTTCAAAAAATTGACATACATGTATAACTCCTAAGATAGAACCCTGGACCCATAGGTCGCATTAAAATCAAGCACATCATGACAAAAGACGTTGAAATGTTCAACTTTATGTCTTTTTTCCTAAACATGTTCTCTTCTGTTGAGAGAATCAGAGAGAGAAAAATGACATGGAAGAAGGCAAACTTAGATTGCCTATTACATATGAGTCTGTGAGCCACTTTCTCATAACTGATTATTTGCTGATAATATAATGCAGTTTATTAGTTCATTAGCACATTGTATTCCAAATTTTAATGAATAAAAATTAGGAGGAATTATTCCTGAATGTTGTTTCTAATAAAACCAATGAGTGATTTGTATGTTTTACGCAAAGGAACAATAGTTTCTGTTATTCCCTTTATCTTACCTTAAAAGTTTTGAAAAGTTTATTACTTTCCTTAAAAAAGATTATCATTAAAAACCAAAGAGATCTTCTATATTACCTGACAAATGTTCTTTGCTGTACAATTCAGGCACGAACTTCTTGAAGAAGCTCGGAGAAAAGGCTTGCCTTTCGCTCAGTGGGATGGCCCCACTGTGGTAGCTTGGCTAGAGGTAAGAGACTTTCTGACAGCAAAGCTTCCCACTAGCCCAGAATTGCTCATAAGGAAGTATTTGATTTAGCCCTGGACTTTCAAGCATTGTAATTTCGCTCTCATGATGTGTGTGTGTGTGTGTGTGTGTGTGTGTGTGTGTGTGTGTGTGTGTGTGTGTGTGTGTGTGGTGTGTGTGTGGTGTGTGTGTGTGATTGAAATAAAATGAAACCTATAGATGAATGAAAAGAGAATCTCTAAATTCCACTTTTTTTTGCACCTAGAGTAAGAGATTAATAATGAAGCTACACATTTGTTGTTTCAAGGAAACATCTGTTCCCCTACAAGCCCTCATTACCAGATTTCAGAGAAGAGTTATATCCACTTTGGACAATTCTGTTATACAAGATACAAAGGCCACCCAGTCACATGGCATTTTCCTATTGCTTATAATTTAATTCCTGAATCTAATTCTTAAAAATCTAGTCTAAGTCAACTAGGTTTAGACACTTTAAGTAAAGCAGCAGATTTATCACTATGTTTTCTGCTATCGAATAGAGTTTCAATTTAATTAATAACTCAATTAATTATCAGTTAAACAGTTCAAGTTAACAAACTAAGAGCTACTTCACTTAACATTTACTTCGCTATAAACTGTTCTGGAAAAAAGTAGAGGGCAGCAGCCACAGAAGTTGACAGTGAGCAAACTATATGTTTGACCTCAGAGGGTCCGTTCATGGAGCCTCCCAGCAGGCTTCACTGTCCTTTCCTTCATTTTTTTTTTAGTCATGGGGCTTGAACTCTGGGTCTGGGGGCTGTCCCTGAGCTCTTCAGCTCAAGGTGAGTGCTCTACCACTTGAGCCACAGTGCCATTTACTGTTTTCTGGTGGCTAACTGGAGAGAAGAGTCTCAGGGATTTTCCTCCCCATGCTGGCTTTGGACGGCATTCCTCAGATCTCAGCTTCCTAAGTAAGCTAGGATTACAGGCACGAGCCCTGGCCCCTCGGCTCTTTTCCTCGTTTTTGCATGGGCTGAAGCAGCTGCTTAGGCATGCCAAAGTTAGGGAAAAGACCTTGCCTGTCAGTGGCAATGACATGCAATGTTTTAATTGGGTCCAGGTTCTAAAATCATCTGCCTTCATTAAAATGTCATACCCATTGCTAAATAAGTGACTAGTGAAGAAAACTTAGTCTATTTTGGTTTCACAAATGGTCTTAGAACCCGGCATGATGACTCACACCTATAATTCTAGCTACTCAAGAGATTGAAATCAGAAGGATTGCAACTTGAGGCCAGCCTGGGCCAAAAAAAAAAAAAAAAAAATCCTTAGCAAACACAAAGCTCTCAGTTCAAACCTCTGTACTGAAGAAAACAAAAAGAACCCATCTAAACAGTCAAAGCTGGATGTTCTGATTGTACATGCCTGACATCCATGCAGTGGTAGGCAGCATGAATAGATTACAGTCCAGCTCACAACAGGCAAGAAGCTAGCTAACAAATGATCTAGCAAAAATGTGCTGGAGGCATAGCTCAAGAGATAGTGCACCTATCTGGCAAGTGCAATGTACCGAAATCAAAACCCCAACTCTCCCCTGCCAAAAGAAAAAAAAAAGACATATATAGGAAGACACACAAACATACTTTGCATTTTTTTCTTGGACTGGTCGAAACAAGGTTGCATCTATCTTTTATTTGACTCTTTCACATCAGCCAGGGGAATTTTGGCATATTAATCATCAAAGTTATTTATTGCAAATATGTCTTTTAAATTATTATATTTAAAAAATCTATTACAAGACAGCTTAAGAAATCATACCTCAATAATGATAGGTGCTTGTTGTTGTTGTTGTTGTTAGGATTTCACTCTGTTAAAATGAGCTACAGTTTGATAAGAGAGCTAGCTGCTATTTTGGCAAGTGATGCACAGATTCTTCAGATTAAAAAAACAGATTTCTTGACATTAAGATGCTAGGAAATGACAGGCAGTGGCGATGGAGCTAATTAAAACTAAACTAACCTGAGTACACAGAAATTGTTCATAATGTGATTCCCAATGTGACTCAAATTAAAAGATGGAATCAACAAGATAAATAAACTGGTGATTCAATGAGTAAGAGCTCCTCGCTACTACCTCCTTTTGCAATTCTTTGAGTGCATAGTCTGCAATGAGCATGGTCCAAAGCAGTCTCAGCTTCACACGCCATTTACTCACATCGAAAACTCCTTAAAATTTAATCATGGGTGACATTGATAACAATAGATTGCAACCACTGGAGTTCTATTAACCAACATGGAAATCACAATTAGAAGCAAGGGATAGAAAATCATTAGTACCCAACAAAGGTAAATTTAGATGTTAGTTGAACAGTTTGATTTATGAGCTAAGAAAGTTGCCCCTTCTTCTGTCTATAATGTACCTGTCAAGGTAAGGCTGTTCCTTACTGTTGGAAAAAATATAAACAATACACTGTAGATTTTTTTTATCTCAGTCACAGCCCAGGCCACATTGGGTTAGAAAATTTGACTTTTTGATTCAATGCGTTTTTCCCCTTGATAGTCTTTTAATATTGTGTTATTTGTAGAACAAAATGATATCTATGTTAATTGTGTATTGCTGTGTAACAAGCTATGCTCAGAAATGGCATTTATTAACTCACAGATTCTGTTTTACATATTAAGTTGGTAAGTGGAAAATTTGATTTGGCTGTAATATAGGATTAGATCAAAACAGCAGGGCCAGCAATGGTACAGCCATCTCATTCTGTGACTACATTTCTCTGCACAGAGGATTCCAAAGTAACTCCAAAGTAATAAATTGAAGTTGCTTATTAGACAACCATTAATTGAGCTTCTTAGTCAAACATGTAGCTGTTCTTCTAGTTCCTACACACAGGGAAAGTGGTGCTGCGAAGCTATTGCCTTTATATTTCTAGTACCTACTGGTTGTTGAAATGCAATCTCTGAAGCCAGAATTGCCTGATTTCAAATCTTATTTCCATTGCTACCTAATTGTGTTTTGAATATCCCTTGCTAAATGTCTCTGGGAATCTCACTCTTCTGGGGAAATACTAATCAAATTTATTTAGCAAGATTTGTGAGCAATAAATTAATTCATATGAGCAAGGTGCTTAGATTCTTTCCGATATAAGACACTCAAATGTTAACTATGATGATGATGATGATGATGATGATGATGATGATGATGATGATGTCTGTATTTTTTCTGCCCCACAGCTCTGGCTGGGAATGCCTGCTTGGTATGTGGCAGCTTGCCGCGCCAATGTGAAAAGTGGTGCCATCATGTCGGCTTTATCTGACACTGAGATCCAAAGAGAAATTGGAATCAGCAATCCTCTGCATCGCTTAAAGCTCCGATTAGCAATCCAGGAGATGGTTTCTCTGACAAGTCCTTCAGCTCCTCCAACATCGAGGACTGTAAGTCCCCACCTCTGAGCAAATAGCAGCCTGTTTAAGTCCACAGAGCAAACTGTGCCAGCACACATTTCAATGTCAGTGTGAATTATTCTAAAGAGATTTGGCTTGCTTTTCATTAACCTTGCTGCTACTTTTAATAGATCCTCAATTGAGAAGCTGTGATTCATATCCCACTTGAAGCCTGAAACCAAGGATAGATTTTTTAGTTAGCATTTAGACTAAAGTTTCAGGGTTTTCCCACCACCCCCCCCAAACAAAAGACTCCAAGTTCAGAATTTTCAGAATTTTACTTTCCTTCCTTTTGAAAAAAATGTAATGTGCTCTCTTTTCAGAAGATAAACCATAAGCATTTGCCATAACCATACATATATCGCAATGTAATGCTTAACTGTATATTTTTAGGTAATGTTTATAATTGTAAGATTATACAAGGTTTGATTTTCTACACATTATAAGTAGAAATCTCCTTTCAGAATCAGTTTGTATCTCATTTATAAATTCCCGGTCCTTTCAGAAAAGAAAGACTATGTTATAGGAAGAGACATGCATAAAGTAGTCTATATAATTCAAACACCAAGAAATTCAAACATCAAAAGTAACTCCCAAATAATATTTCAATATTTCTATATTTCTAATTTTTCAATATGTCTGATTTCTAATGTTAACTAGATTTCTTCAGTCTCATATCTAACATAAGATAGCAGAATGACATAAATTTGGAAAAGGGTAAAAACATTTTTATTATTGCAATTTTCAAGTACAAAATTAACTTGAGCATAACTTTTTATATATGCTCCTAAAGGATCGCAAACAATTTATTTCATTTCTATAATATTTACATTTATTTTCTTACCAGATGCTAAATTCTAATTTTGAAAATACAAAATGAAAATTTATAAAGACATGTTTTCTGTGCATAATTATCCTGTAAAAATCTTTCTAAATAATAAAGAAATTCATGTCCTTTTAAACTCTCATTTAGGATATTATAGATATATTTACTTACTGCAGTTGTACCATTATACAAACTAAATATACTTCAGAATACATTAAACATAAAAGTTGAGAAAGCCATTAAATAGTTGCTGTAAACTGGATTTAGAAGCAGTGAGTTTTCTGAATAATTTCTGCCTATCAAAGATATATCTGAATTTTTGTGTTTGTTTTTGTTTTTGTTTGGGGGGGGGCGGGTCCGGTCATAGGCCTGAACTCTGGGCCTGGGCGCTGTCCCTCAGCTCTTCAGCTCAAGACTAGCACTCTACCACCTGAGCCACAGTGCCACTTCCAGCTTTTTTTTTCTGCTTATGTGGTGCTGAGGAATCGAACCCAGGGCCTCATGAATGCAAAGCAAGTGCTCTACCACTGAGCCCCCTTCCCAGCCCCATACCTGAATTTTGTATCAACACTGCTCTCCCTAGTAGTACAAAGAAAATACTGATTTCTTTTTCAGTTGTAGGGCATGGAAACTGTTCCTGAGCTCTTTTGCCCAAGACAAATGCTCTGCAACTTGAACAATGGTACCACTTCCAGTCTTCTGGTGGTTAATTAGAGAGCCTCATGAAATTTCCTGTCCCTACTGGCTTTGAACAGTAATGCTCCGATATCAGCTTCCTGAGTAGCTAGGATTGCAGGCATGAACCACCAGTGCTGCAATGACAGTACTGAAATTTTTAGATCTTGCAATAATAAAATTAATGTTCCAAGTTGTAGTCTAAAAGTATGATATACTTTATTTAGCAACAAAAGTAAATTACCTCACTATCACTTAACCTAGGATTTTACAATATCTAGAGCTCCTTATGCTCATTCTTTGAACATTTCATCCATTAAATATCTTCACTTTATGTGATTTTTCATCTAGTTTGGTTTTGTAATTATCTAAGCGTTAACTCAAGACAACTAAAAGACTATCTCAACAATGCCACAGCCTTCTAGACATTTAAAATTTACTTTCCAGACTTGGACAAATAATATCTCCTTGGTACTGTCTCTTACTGTCTGCGTTTGCCTGTTATTTTTTAATAATTCAGCATGAATAAGAGCAAAATGTTCTTTTATTTGTGGTTGTCATATTTATTTAAATTGTTCTTATGAAAATGCTAGTGTAGCAGAAATAAAAAGGCTTGGACACAAATTCAAATAGTCTTTTGCAGCCATATAATACAAATTTCTACAGAAATGTAAGGAAGGCATATGACACGTGTTGATCATTACCACATGCAGGAGAAGGAGATTATGTGTTAAACAGAAGGTTTGCTTCAGTGAAGGCTGTACAGTAGAATTCTACTGATCTTAAAGATTTAGTCAACACTGACAAGGTGCTAAAAGTCAGTCACCACTTTGAGGATATTACATGTTAGTAATTAAGTAGTTAATTTAGTTAAGTTAGTCATCAATGAGTTATTTAAGTTCTGATACTACGGGTAAGGAACTTGTATCTGCCTTATGATTGGGAGTGCATAAGTGAGACATTAAATGCCCATTCCCAAGGGCTTTTGCCCAGGATCTGTGCTTCTGACAGTGTTTCCTCCCTCATAGGCTGCATTGGTCTTTGTTCTTTCCTTCAGCATTCTTTCAGCTTGCTTTGATCTGCTTCCATTCTTTCTAACCTCATACAACTCATTTTTTAGTGCACGTAAAGTTAGACATAATGAGATCTATCCAAGAATCATTGTAGTGAAAATTATTTCTTTTCTAATGGACAACAGAAATCCAAATGAGGAGAGATGTGGATGTAAGCCATTTGGATGTGAAAAGTAAATTCCATCTTGCTTTACTTTGTAATTCAACTGGAGAGTTTAAAAAAAAAAAAAAAACAACTTGGAAATGACTCAGGTAGTCTCACTTTTGCAAGAGCATGTTTGAAATTCTTCAGAGGTCTACATGAATTGGTTATCTTGCATCTTTGACAGCAAGATTATTCTCTCTTGATTAATTTTAATGTATGATTCCTTGGGTTCATTTTTATATTTACTTTTCTGTCATGATGCTTTCTGGAATGATTTAATCAAGTGAGAAAGCAAATTCTTAACATCCTTTAGGAGTTTGCCTCAGCTTTCATTTGGTAACACTTGCTGAGCAAGTGCTTAAGGTAAGCAAAGCCCCTGAAATACACAATTTAAGCAGAGTTGCTTTTTCTAGTTCCAAACTTGCAACTCACACCAGCCTACAAATGGATAATCTCTTGGGAAGCCCTTGACTTTTATCTTAGTCCCAATATTCTGTTAGAAATCTACATTATGATTTTTAAATTTCAGTAGTTTTTCTAGTATGAAGTTTTAGTTCTATCTAAGAGAAGAAACATTGAATTTTGAGAGTTTTTTGAAGTAGTTATTGAACTACTCTAGGAAAGTTTTATGAGGCAACCTACTCATTGAATTGAGGGGAAGTTCTCAGTGTAATTGTAGAGAAGTGGCAGTACTAGAACCCAAGCCCTTTGAAAAGAATTTGGTCACTGGACACTGGAACTGTGTAAATCATCTGTTTGACCCAGATGATGTTGACCACCAAGAATGACTGTTGGTTTGCATTTTCTGGCTCAGATATAAAGGAGGTAGCAGCACAGACAGCAAGGGCAGAGAGATGACAAAGAGTTCTGAGAGTACTTCAAGCACACACTGTTTGTCCTTTATTCATTTTCTATTTGCCTTGTTATTCTTTTGATTTCTGGTCTCAAGTCACCTGTATTTATGATCCTTGTTTACAACTTTGTATTGACAGATCATTTCCTCTTTCCAAGGATGCTGATGATTAAAAACTATGTGCACAAAATTTTGTTAATAAACAACGAAGTACATGTGCTCTCAATTCCTGAGGAAAAAACAATAGTTATTTTTAAATCTCTTTCTTTATATAAAAATTATATTATTATATTGTATATCATCTTTCTTCATTATGCATTTCAAATATATCTATTTATGTAAATATATTTACATAATATATTTATATTTACATATATTTACATAAATAGATATATTTGAAATACAAAGCTTTCTCATGCCTGTTTTCTGATTAAGAATCACAGAAGTATCCTTTGTTTATTTATTTATTTTTTTGTCGGTCATGGGGTTTGAACTCTGGGTCTGGGCACTGTCCCTGAGCTCTTCAGCTCGAGGCGAGTACTCTACTGCTTGAGCCACAGTGCCACTGTGGTGGTTTTTCTGGTGGTTAATGGTAGATGAGTCTCATATACTTTCCCGCCAGGCTGGCTTTGAACCGTGATCCTCAGATCTCAGCCTCCTGAGTAGCTAAGGTTACAGGCGTGAGCCACCTGGGCCTGGCTCCTTTTTAAAATTTTTGTATTTAGTTTTTGATAGCACTGGGATCCAACCCCAAGGTTTTTCATGCTCTCACCTTGCTTGCTTGTCTAATGCTTTACCACTTCAGCCATGCTTCCAGTTCTGCTTTTTACATACTATATTAGAGATGGAATTTCACGTGCTTTTCTGTCAAGTTCTCCAGATGTAGCTTCCTGATGAGCCAGGATTACAAATGTGAGCCACACAAGCATCGGGCTCACAGAATTATCATTTTGAAGCTACTCCATCATGACAACATATCATGCCTTTGTCCCCAAGATCATTTGAGAGTAAAAGGGAAATCTGGAAATTCCACTAGTGTCTGAGAGCCCTCTAGTACAGGCTCTGTGCATGTGTAGAGTAAGGGCACTGTGTTGAGCCATGGTGCTGGTTGGCTTACAGAGGTGCTGCCTCTCTCTTTACTCTGCTTACCTCCGTGGATTCCACTGCTAACCCCTGGGCTGCTCACTAGCCTTCAGGCAACGTCTGGGTGACCCATGAAGAAATGGAAAACCTTGCGGCTCCAACAAAAACGGTTAGTCTTTAAGGCTTTATTGAAACCGAACAAAAGTTACTTGCTGCTGTTAAGAAGGAAATAAAACCTGATTTGTTTACTATAGACCAGAGAAATAAGGAAAGATCATCTAGTTATAGGCAAAGATGTTAATATATTTTGTGACAGCTTTATTTTGCTATACTTGTTTATGCTTTAAGAGTTTTAAATGAAACAGAACTTTATTTTCATATTCTGGTAAATACAGTGAGTTCATAATATGCAATAATAATGAAAAATACAATGATTGTTTTTGTACTTTGCGATATTGGATTTTTGGCAATGAATATTACTTCGTATTAAGCAAATTTACAGGTAATGCATAGTTTTAAGCTAAGTTAAATTTGTAAAAGGAAAATGTAGGTAATTTCTAAATAATGATATAGTTTCAAGAACTTTACCATCTCTCGCACTGAACTTAACCAAAAATAGTGTTTTATTAGTTAGTATTGAGAAGCACAGTGTTAAGTGCTTTAAGGGCCTAAGCTTTAAGAAATATGTGATTCATAGGCATTTTCATGTAAAGTAATAAGGTTTGGCATTTAATCACATGTATTATCTGAGTTTTTTCTATTTTAGTCTTAGTTGAAGACATAGTTATCTAGAAGTTTATGATGTAAAAAATGCTCATGTTATACACTAATATCAATTTTAGTTTGGATTATTATACTTGATTTTTAACATTACTAAAATATATTCAACCATAAAGCTTTGTTAGAAATAGTTGCCAATTTTACTTTAATTTCGGTGACATTTCTATATCACAGACACAAACATATTATACATATTATCACATTAGATTTTTGGAAAATTAAATCTACTTAATAAAAATAGGCTTGTTAAGAACCAGAATAACTGTTCACAAAAATCTTGAAAATCTCATATTTCATGTGTACATGTTCAAATTAGAATAAGTTAGAAACTATACTACTGACCAATAGTTACTCTTGTTCTAAGACGTTTACTATTATGCACTGACACATGAACCCAGGTACTTGTCTGAAGAGGTATTAGAATTATACTTCTACTAGATCATTTTGACTAATTCACTTGTAATTGATGTATGTTTAACCTGCTTTATTAATCATTCCTGCTGCTTACACAGAAGGAATCTGAGGAAGGAAGCTGGGCCCAGGTAGGAAATTCATATACTTGAACACAATTATAATTCAGTAAGCTATGAGAATACAATTTAGGAAACTGTTATGTTATAATATTTTAAAATTATCACCCCTCTCAATAATTACATTAGTATGTATAGTTAATTTGATAATATGTTTAATAATTCATCTTTTTAAATACCATAATTTGCAATTATTTATTTCATAGCTAGACTTTGAAATACGGTAATGACCTGTAACTTCAGTGTCTCTGAATTCACTCTTTAACCAAGAAGCACTCAAGTTGGAGCTAAAAAAGAAAATTTCCAAAAGACTTATTTGGAGTTCCATTATGCACAGGGTCTGAAGACTGCTTTTATAGGGAAAGTGTCAGAGCTGACAGTACAACTCAGAGACCAGCCCTATATACTAGGATGGCCACACAAGACAAGCTCCTACACTGGGAATAAGGCAGCAGGCTGCCACACGTTTTCTTTAGCATCTCTACAGGTTGGATAACTGAAAGAATTAAATATATGTTATCCACAAAGTGATCTAAGTAAAAACTTTCTGAGAGTAATATTACAACCTCTGGGTAAGCATGCCACAATTTAGGGTTGCAATACATTTTGATTTTGATAAGAATGTCATCAATCTTGAGAAAGGGCAGTACTTAGAATCTCTCTAGATAAAAATGCTATAATTACAAGTATGAATTAGCTGTATGATAAGGAACTGAACAGTGAAACTTGTAGTTAATGAGTAGTTCTAGATTATCTGTGCTAGCTTTTGATTGTGCCCTTCTTCATTAGGTGGAGTTTAATCAATTTCTTGAAAGGAAGGTCTTTTAATCTTTATGAAATGCTGGCTACATGCTACACTAGGGAACAGTAACGATTCAGAATTCTTTTTAACCTCATCAGGTTTTACTCTTTGCTTACTGAGGTTCCTTTGTCACATCAAGATTTGCTATTACACTATAGAAATGCAATAATATCACTTAAAGAGGATGGTGGTGGAGTAGTGGCTGATAGATAAATTATATAAGCCCAGCAATGTAAAGAACAACCCAAGGATCAACACTCATGGGTATAATTCAAGACTTTAAAATTTTTACTGACAAAATATGTCTCTGGACAATATGTAATTACTTTTAGCCTACAAAATGAATTGTTGCTTATTTCCATAAGTAAATTCCTTGACAAATATATGAACAGTTCTGTTTTATAACAAATAAATAAAATACTTTCATGCTACAGATTGTTTCTCCAAATAAGATACTCTGTAAACATCAGTTATATTGATGAGTCCTATCTTTTAATTACCATCTAATTTTATTGGTTAAGAAACTTGACTGCTATAAAACAATTCTAGTGTCCGGTTTTTCTGCAGACTCTGGCTTATGGAGATATGAACCACGAATGGATTGGAAATGAATGGCTTCCTAGCCTGGGATTACCTCAGTACAGAAGTTACTTCATGGAATGTTTGGTTGATGCAAGAATGTTAGATCACCTAACAAAAAAAGATCTTCGTGTCCACTTAAAAATGGTGGATAGTTTCCATCGGTATGTTTTCATTTAACAAAAAATGGTGTTCAATAATATATGTTTATTAGTACAAAAAACAAATGCTTAGGATGTAGAAAATATGTACTATTCAAACATCTGTATCATCTATACTTGGGAAATATTTTAAATCAGCAAATTGCAGGGATTGTTTAATATACACCTGAGTTTATATGGTATGACCACCTTTTATGCAAATATACACATACAAAACTATTCTCATAGAGCATATATTTGTTTTCTCTTGGCTGTAATGAATCTGTGTTTGTAACTTTTCTGGTTTGTGAGTGGTTATTAAAGATTATTACTACAACTGCTTGTATAACACAGTTAATAATTTAGACACATACTAGGAGAAAATCTGACAGGTAATTCTATGAAGGTCATGTGTATGACTGTATTTTTACATAAATCCTTCAGTTTTTTCTTGCATATTAACTTCATTACAATGCTTGCATATGCTGTTAGACAGCTATGAGGAAATGAATGAAGCACATTCTGTTCATTCAAGTTATTTCTGCCTACCCCTTGGAAAGAAAGACAATACTATGCCATGAATGTTATGTACTCACTTGAACCCTTGTATTCTGAGGGGCAAAACTAGAAAGCAATGTGTTGGCAAGTCCGATTTCCTCAAGTTCTCTCCTTTGGCTAGCTAATGCCAGCTTCTCTCTGTCTCCATGTTCTTGCCTCTAGGAGTACCCATTGCTCTTCTTCTAATGGTTATCCAAATTCCCACCTTTTATAGAGTGACAGGATGATCAGATTAAGGCCCACCTGAATGGTCTCATTTAAATTCATTGTCTGTTCAACCCCATCTCCAAATCTAGTCATGTTTGGAGGCACCAGGGATCCGAGCTTCAATGTATGCATTTTAGAAAGATAATTCTGCTCACCATATTTACACAGCTTTGTCCATCCTCTAGTTCTGGGAGTATTTTATTCAACATTTTTCTTACTAAAATACTGGGCTTAAAAACATATCCAGTGTTTTCAAATATAATCTGACCAGTGGACATATCTAATTTTATGTGCATGCTAAACACTTAAGAACTCAATGGAATCACTCATCTCTACGCTTAAATCCAGAGATTCATTTTCCTCCATCCCAATTTTCCATGGCTGACATTTCTAATATCAGAAAATCTTCTTTTTTACTTCTCTACACACCTCTGATCTCTGGATTATCTTTTCCAATTTAACACCATGACCACTTAAGTGACTTTTCTATCTCCTAGGATTGCTTATCTCCCCTGTGCCCCATTTTGCTGTGAGATACTTCTTCCCTAAATGACAAGCAGAAAGAAAACAGTTTTTGGTCGGTACCCTTCTTCTGAATGCGGTCCTGAATGTATTCAGGACATTCTCCTGAGTATATTTCAGACATGAAATACCAGACTTCCCTGAATACACCTTTTTTTTTATTCTGCCACCTTTTTCTTCTCTGCTTTCTTTTCTAGTGTGGATTTTCAGCTCTGGGTACTGCACCTCACAATCACCGCACCTCTAAGATTTCATCCACAATACTTGTGTCTGCTAGGTCCTGTTTTCTTCAGTACACACACTTTTAACCATTGGCCAGTTTTCTCCTCTTTCACCCTATATATCTTATATATATATATATATCTTATATATCTTATATCTTCTGTCTTGTCCATTTTACCCATATCTCTATTGTTCTCGGTTGGCTGTTTGTTTTGGTATTTGGCCACTTTATGTTATTATTTAATATTCTCCTATTATGCTATTGCTGTCATCGGCTAAGAAGAGGATATCTATTTCTTATGAATTTCTACCTTCATCAAAGTCCATCATAATTATTTTTGAATGAATAAAATATTAATTTGTTAGCACATAATGTAGAAATAGCTAAGTGGAGGTCAGATACCTCAATGAATATCTCTATTCATTATTATTTTCAAAACTATTTCTTAGTTTGTTAATGGTTTTACTGTTTTCACAAAAATTACATTTTTAGAATAGTTATATGTTGGTTTCCTTTTCATAGTGAAGGGTTTATTTATTCACAGGTATTGTATTAACCTGATTCCCTGATTGGTGCTTATAGTTAACTAGGCTTGCTCAAAGGAAATTCTTCACCTTCTGAATAAATTCAATGTCCTTTCTTCTAACAAATAACAGAACAAGTTTACAATATGGAATTATGTGCTTAAAAAGGTTGAATTATGACAGAAAAGAACTAGAGAGAAGACGAGAAGCAAGCCAGCATGAAATTAAAGGTAACATAGTTTATTTCATATAAAACTCTGAAGTTGATCCTGTTACCTTTTTTTTTTTTTTCCCCTTTTTTTGTCCCGCCCCAATCCTGTTACCTTTTATAGCTAAGATGCTATGTATGTCATTGTGGTCATCAAAAACCACAAATATTTGGTCACAAATGTTGTGTGATTTTGCCTGATTACAGCACAGAAAAGGATATTGTCCCATTACAAAGTAAATATCCCCCATTTAGGACATAGAGTTAATTTTTTGAATGGAGATTCATTCCTCTGAACCTGTTAATTATATGTTCTTCTGGAACAAAAGTGGACTTCCTATATGAAACTTTTGGTATAATATTGTCATTATGATTCAGAGGAATATAAATTATGTTTGTTGTTATTGTTTTATACCAGTTCATTTTTGGATTCTGCCAATGAAATTTTATTTCAGTGGCTAAAAGTCTTATTTTGTCATATAAGTTATCAGAATTTTATTGGGACCTTATACAGAAATTATGTAAGAAATTTCTCCCTATAAACTAGAATAGCCTGTAAATAATTTTAGTGCATGATGACTCTGGGAGCATTACAACTACTGTGTGTACAAAAAAAAAAAAAGAAAGATTTAAAGAATAAGAAAATACCCCGGGTTGTACATTTATCACAAAAGTGTTGTGCTTTAATTAACCATAGTCGTCGATTTTGTGGGGGTGGGAGGTCAGGGAGGAGATGGGAAGGGATGGGAAAGGGAAACAAAGGAGGAGGCAACAATGCTTGATAAGAGATGTACTCATTACCTTGCTCATGTAATTGTAACCCCTCTGTACGGTATTTTCACAATTTAAAAAAATGCATTCTTCTTCAGTTAAGTTGAAAAGTTGGAACTATTGTAGCAAAGATAGACCCAAGAAGGAAGTGTGGGTGTGTATCTGGCATAACAAAGGGCACATTGGCTCACAAACAGATTTTAACCCTTTTATATTACGTCTGTATGCTTGGATTTACCATATAACATATTTCACATATAGACATATAAGAGAGAAGAATTACGCATTTGGCCCAATATCAAATGCTATATTAACATTTGGCAATAGTGAGTCTGAGTACAGATGGAATGGGTGGAATGGGGGGGACTACGATTCACTGTGATTATATACAAACAACTCCCTATTATAAATAGCTGTGTGAGATCATAAATAGTTCCTCTTTCCGGTAATTGACCTGGTGACATTTACAGGAATAACTTTCAACAGAGTCTGTTGGGAGGGGTCTCTGCTATTATCTGAAGCATTAATTAACCTTGACCTTAATAAAGAAAGGTTTCTGCAGTGAGAAAAGTGTCAAGAATGTACTAACACTCAATTTGTCGCTAGGAAACAGTCAACACTGATTTCTGGCCACTTATTGTTTAGGTCTAGAGGATTCCTACAAAGCATTCCAATCAGGGAATAAATCTTCCTTGGAAATACATTTATAGGAAGATGTTTGATTTATAAAATGAAACAGGGATATATTGCTATTCAAAAGCAGAGAACTTTAGCTTAGTACTTTATTTTTCCTCATCAATTAATGTATTAATTTATGGATTTAATGATTCTTTAAAAATGATTTTTTTGTATTAAACTAACTGTCCAGTGTAAGGTATATTAAATAGGTAGGTTTTATTAGGTATCTGATGAAGAGAACACCACACACTATTCAGGCAGGAAAAGAAGTTTATTTACCTAACTGCTGCTTCCTCCATGCATGGTGAAGCATGGCTGAAAAGGAAAGGGGGTGGGGGAACGCATCTCTGGGCCAGGACTTATCGAGGCCAGGGACAGGAAGAGGTGTGGCCAGCTGGGGGAGAGGTGTGGCCACACTGGATCTGGATGTGACCTCAGGATCTAGGACCCTCCTAAGGTCAGATGGGAGGCATGTGACCAGAGGTGGCCCAGGATGTGACCTAGCAGGAGGGGAAGGTGACTGCTTCCCAGTGTGCCAGTTACCAAGGTAACAGATACTGGGCAGAAACTTAGCCAAGAGGGAGGGAGGTGTGCCTGTTCAGACCTGTTCAGACCTATATACAGTAGGGTTTCAGTTTTACAAGTCAGATGATTAATACAATGCATCTTGATAGATGATATCATTTTCATCATTCCATTGCATTTGAATATTCATAACTAAAAGTATGACTATTGCAATTCTAATTGTCAAAAATTTACAAAAATATGATGACAATCTAATATGCTTCTCTTTACTAACATAAACCCAGATATAGAAAAGAACAAACATTATATTTACAAATAACTCCAGTGCAAGAAACACTGGACTGTGTGTGTGTGTGTGTATGTGTGTTTATGTATGCTTTTGATTAAACTTTTGAAACCATGGTGAAAAGAAGTACTGCATTTAGTACATTCAAGTAAACATTTGCTGTTGTTCATAAATATCTGCCCAGTTTAAATGTAGCTAGTACTTAGAGGGGACCTCTTACTGTCAGTACCAGCTAATAATGTAACTAACTCCACATGCCTTTTTCTGAGACTTACCACCACAATGGAACACGCTACTATAACTCAGAGAGAAAATTGTATGTCAGAACTAACCTAGAGATAATCAAGAAACATTTATAATATATAATTCCCATATATGGTTAAAGTCATTAAGAAGTCATTTGCTTTGTGGAAGATACAGTGAAAGAAAAAGGAAAATCTCTAAGGCAGACATTATATTTCTCATCTTCTTCAGACATTCATTCTGCTTCAGATGGACTCTGCAGTCACAAGTCTGGGATATAAGCATTCTTCCCAGGACCTTCCTTTGAAATTAGATTGTTCAAGCCACAAGAGAGATAAATGGAGATACATGAAACAGATATTCCTGTAGCTTCCAGATTTACATACAATCACTTTCCCAGCACATTAAGCAATGGGAAAGACCAAAGAAAGCGTTGTTTTGAACTTCTACCTGTGAGTATAATAGAGTAGATTCAAGAAAACAAATAGAAAGGCTACACAAATCAATAAACAGATATAAATAGGTGTTTGAAGGTAATTCAAGACATCTAAGACAGCTAAGATTTAATCATCTGAGGGGGAAAATGTGATACATTGAGGTAAAGGATAAACTTGTTTTTCTCTACTGCTTTTCCATGTCTTATAGAACAATTGGGAATTGGCAGTTGGAATTTACAAGTGTCAAGCCAGTGAGGATTTGAGGAATAAAAAATTCTGGAGAATAGAGAAAATAATGTGTAAACTCAGCAATTTGGGGGATGTGGCAGTTCCAGGGGTTAAATCCATAGACTGGCAAATAGTAAGCACACACCATACCACGGACCTGCACCTCCAAATTTTATACACCATTCCCTCCAAATTCATGACAACCTTCTTTTCGTACATTTGAAAACTCATAGATGGCATACTGTGGACACAATGAGAAAAGATTAAAATCAGTAAAATAGAAACATATCTGCAATCGACCTTGGTTCTGTTTTTTTTTTAATCTTCCAGAAATAGTCCTCTAAATAAATAAAACTTTATGCAAGGAAAATAATGACAAAACAGAGAACTTCAATATTTAGTTAGAACCGATATGGTATGAATTCACTCAGGTGGAAATTTCAAGAAATAGAAATATCCAGTGTTAAATTTAAAAACATACTCCATAGGCTGAGTATAGAACACAATCTTAAAAACCTCGTATAGCATTCATGAGGCCCAAAACAATAGCCATAAAAGTCTAGTTGAAAAAAAATCACTTGGAAAAATATCTAAAATCTGAAAAAAAGGAATGATATAAAACAGATTGTTATAAAGAGTCTAGAATTTAGAGTCTAGTAATTAGAATCTCTGAACTGGCAAGAAAGAAGGGGGAAGCATTTAAAGAAACTGACTGGGGACTGGGAAGGTGGCTTAGTGGTAGAGTGCTTGCCTTGCATGAGGCCCTGGGTTCGATTCCTCACTACCACATAAGTAGAAAAAGCCGGAACTGGCTCTGTGGCTCAAGTGGTAGAGCGCTAGCCTTGAGCTGAAGAGCTGAGGGACAGTGCTCAGGCTCAGAGTTCAGGCCCCATGACTGACAAAAAAAAAAAAAAAAGATACTGATAGAACTCAAAAACAAATGAACAAAAGAATTGGATACAAATTAAAGACTGTAAATCTCAAGCAAGATAAATAAGAAAAGGAAAGAAGAGATCTCAAATACAAAAGAAATATTATAACATCCAATGAAAGAAGAAAAAAATTGATGTCAGACAGAACAGAGAGGAACTTAGAGAATATATAGGTAAATTCAAAATAATAATACCCACAGTACTTTAATTTTACCTAGAATTAAATGGATACCAATTATACTACAAAAGGCAAGAATGAGATAAATGAAATTCAATTGTTTGAACCTTTTGCACTATCAAGGAAGTGACATTTTTAAAAAACTATTTATAATATACTTTGATAAGTGAAGACAGCATATTATAAGCTTTAAGTGTGACTAATAAGATAAATTCTAAAAATCAGATTCTAAGAGAGTAGTGAAATAAAGTCAAGAAAAAAGGAAAACTGAGAGAAAAGGAAAATACAAAAATGATAAAGTTAACTTATGATATCTGAGCAATACAAATGGGAGTGTATTAACTCAATTAAAAGATAGGTAGGGAAAGCCAAAGTCACTGATATGCTTTATACAATGTAAACACCTTAACACAAGAATATAAAAAATTTAGGAGGAGATATTAATGTAGATACTAACCAAAGTTGCTATGATTCCATTCTAATTTTAAAAGTATATATCTTAAAACAGAAAATATATTTCCAATAAATGGAGCATTAAAAAGTAAAACTGAATAGATTTGAAAATATTATTTTCACAATCAAATGGGACTTAGTAATGAGAACTACAGTAAAGTACAACATATCAGAGTACATTGGGCTACTACCATAGAAAGCACCACAAACTGAGGCATACCCAATAGAAATGTCCTGAATTATAGTGATACCAGAGAGAAGTATGTGATCAAAGTGCTTGCAGGTTGGTTCCTTCTGACAGGTGTGCAGAAGAATCTGTCCGGCCTCTGTCCTGTGCTTGCCTCTTCTTCAGCTGAGATAAGAATCTACTGTGTTTCTGCCTTATTTTACCATTCTGTAACACACACACACACACACACACACACACACACACACACACACAACACACAATTCCTATTAAAATAAGGATCTACTCATCTATATGCAATATTTAAATAGCAGTTGGTTCATACTTCTGATTCGGCAAAATACTAAAATCATATTTGCTGTGTGTGTGTGTGTGTGTGTGTGTGTGTGTGTGTGTGTGTGTGTGTGTAGCACAAATAGAAATGTCTCCATCTGGTGGTACAAATACTAAACTGCAGACAGATCCCTACAGCTTTAACATGAAAATTGTGTCCCAGATAATGAATCCTTACAAGTGATAACAAACATTCTGAAAATGAGAGCTTCTTACTAGACTTAATGTATAAGTGGCTAGTTATCAGAACAGTAAGTACACGAGGGAGTACACAAATCAACATAAATGTGATGTGGCCGGTATTTTTGTGGCTCATTTTAGCCAGTGATTTTGTTTCTGTTGCCATGTCCTGAAGCCTGACACAATGTATGTCACTTCCTAGATGTGTTGGTGTGGAGCAATGATCGAGTTATTCGCTGGATACAAGCAATTGGACTTCGAGAATATGCAAATAATATTCTTGAGAGTGGTGTACATGGCTCACTCATAGCACTGGATGAAAACTTTGATTACAGCAGCTTAGCTTTATTATTACAGATTCCAACACAGAACACCCAGGTAAGATCTTTTGTGCTGTAGATTAACTATGTTTGAGCTTATATAATAACAAATGAAAACAATATGTCAAAATATAAGTGTCTGTATATTCATTCTTTTTAAAATAAAATTTATTTAAACAGGCACATAAAACCACAAAGAAACATTTACAATAATATTGCAGATTTGAGTAATTTTTATAATGTTAAAATAGAATGAATACATGTAATACCACCTTTATCTTTCTTTTAACCAGTCCTGGGGCTTGAATTCAGAGCCTGGACACTGTACCTGAGCTTCTTTTGCTCAAGGCTAGCACTCTATCACTTGAGCCATAGCACCACTTCCAGCTTTTTTTCTGTTTATGTGGTACTGAGGAATCAAACCCAGGTCTACATGCTAGGCAAGCAATCTACTATTAAGCCACAGTTATCATTTTTATTGAACCTTTTCTTCTAGCTTTGTAGTAAACCACTAAACAGTATCCATAAACTCCCTATTATGGAATAGCACATGAGGATTTTTAGTCCGAGTTCATTTGTAACCTAGTGCCCATTGATCAATCTTCTTACATCATCCACCCCTTCCCATCCCCCAATTCCATTAACTACCATTCTGTTCTCACTTTCTGTAATATCAGCTTCTTCAGATTCCACATTTCAGTGAGATCCTATGGTACTGGTCTTTCTGTGCCTTACTTATTTCACTTAATATAATGTGTGATTTTTTAATGAAATTTATCTCCATCTCTAAAATGTGTCAGTGGGGCTTTAATTCCAAGGGGTTGGATTTCTAACCAAACCAGAAATCATAAAATTAAAAGTGAATTCGAGGTCATGAAGTCCAACCTTCTCCCACCTGAATGTCAGATTCCCCAAACAGTATCTCTAACAGATGGCCTTCAATTGCAATGTAGTCCTTTCTACTTTAAATATCTGAATTATACAGACAATTAACTTTGAGTATGCAGTGATTCCCAACCCTGAATAACTGTCAGCAGAGTTTCAAATAAATTAAAATCCTTTCATGTATATCACAGTTTAAAAATCAGATATTACCATGGCAAAAAAAATCTTAATATCTAGAAATTTATCCAAATGAAGATAATTCATCAGGATTAAAAATTACCTATAGGAACTTGATAAAATTTTCCATCCATGCTCATTTTTAATTCTATTATACATATTTAAAGTTTCTACTTGAAATACTTAATTGGAATAAAGTATGAATGTGGGGGGTCAATGACTCCTGACTTATGACATTTATGTGAAACTATCTCTCTACTGTCACAAACACAAGAATATTGTCCTGGCTAGTATTGATAGATAAACATTTGCAATGACTGATAAAGATGGAAAACTAAAACTCTTATGATCATATAACTAATGCATACTTTGAAATGCATTCACAGATAAATAGAATCTATGTGTGTTTTTTTAACATGAAGTGTATGTACAATGATGGTAACTATAATTTGGTATCAACAGGCAAGACAGATTCTTGAAAGGGAATACAATAACCTCTTGGCTCTGGGAACCGAACGGCGGCTGGATGAAGTAAGTTCTTAGCTGGCATTCATAGGAGCCTAGAGAGGAAGAGTGCTTAGAATAGTATCAGGGAATGGTGTTCTAATGATAGGATCTAGAATTTTACCCAGGAGTATTTGAAAATATTAAGTGATGTACCTTAGTTTTTTAAAAGAAGTTAATCTATTTGTCCATATTATTGTTTCATTAGTTACAAAAATCATGAAGAATAATCCAAAGTGAGATTCTTTCAAAAACAATGATTGCAAAATGTTGACATTATTTAAAACTCCAGAAGCAATTGACCATTTCACCTTTGAGTAATAAGGGACTTCTTTCTTTAATATCCTTGTATGTTCTCAAGAAATTATATGCTATTAAAAATTTGCTTTCAGTCACATTTTTCATCCTTAACAAATTCTGATTTGAGATTATCTTAAAAGCAAAACTTTTTTGTTTATAGGATATAAAATATATAATATGGGTAAGAATCCCTACCTATACTATATACTTGTTTAAATTATTTGGAAAGCAACATCATGTTTAAATTATTTGGAAAGCAAGAACATGTAAGAAACCTCTTGAGAAGAATGAACACAAGGGAAGCCAGCACACTGCATTGACAGAGACTTTCACAGACCCAGGTGTGATTTAATATGATCTTACTGAAAGAAATGGACAGGGAGACTTAGTATGTTGTGAAAAATACAGAGAAGCCCAAGTTAGTGGTGCAAAATGCAGGTGTTTCTTCACAATAAAGACAGGATGTTTGAATAATATTTTAATTATTCTATGTATAAATGGGCATGGCAGATGATTTCCATATCATAAAATCCCTGCTGTCCTTCGTGGAATTTAACAGGTAAGCTTTAAGACGTTGACCTTAGCTAACTTCTAAGAAACTAATATACTTGTCCAATCAGGAAAATAACTGATATTGTTTAAAGCCCAGTTAACACTCAACTGCATTGAATCTTGCAAGTTATACAATAGTCTTAATTTTTATTCTAATTTGTTGATTCCAAAAAGTAGCCTTATAAGCTTCTGTACTTCTGAATACAATTATTCTTACTTGAAATTGCAAAAGATACATTAGTAAGATGTACTAAAAATCTGTCATACTGCCCCTTTCTAGAAAGTAGCTGGTCCTTAAAGAACTGTTTAGGTACAGGCACTATCCTATGTGGGGATGGCTTTGTATCATGTAATAAAGACAGAGAAGGATCCATTAACTATGGTGTCACTGTTTACTTAAACATTCTATCTCTTATTTATTTGGGATACAAGCAGTAATAGGGAACTCAGGATCTTACACATGATAGACAGGTGCCATGCTATTTGAGCCAGGCCTCCAGCTCTCTTTTTCACAAGTTGTTTTTGACACCAAGTCTTGCTTCTTGCTTAGGCATGGATGTGAATTGCCACTGGCCTACTTTAGGTATTCTGTTGTTGCTGTGGTCACAGGTACTTTCCATTGCACATGGGTTCACTGTGCAAATCGAGTCACATGGACTTTTTGTCCCTAGCTGGCTTGATTCCATGATATTACTGATCTCAGAATCCATTGTAACTTGAGATGACAAGCTGACAGCACTGGACCCAGCTATGCTTTGGGAAGGCATGCCACTCATTTTTCTGCTCTAGCTACCTTTGAACCACCATCTGCTGATCTCAGTCTCCCAACTAACCAGGATAACAGGCACAAAGCCCCTGGTGCCTTTCCCATTCTTTTCTTTTTCCTTTACTTTTTTTTCTTTTCTTTTTTTCCCTTCCTTCCTTCCTTCCTTCCTTCCTTCCTTCCTTCCTTCCTTCCTTCCTTCCTTCCTTCCTTCCTTCCTTCCTTCCTTCCTTCCTTCCTTCTTTCTTTCTTTCTTTCTTTCTTTCTTTTTTCTTTCTTTCTTTCTTTCTTTGCCAGTCCTGGGGCTTGAACTCAGGGCCTGGGCACTGCTTCTTCAGAGCTAGCGCCTTATCACTTGAACCCCACAGCGCCACTTCCAGCTTTTTCTGTTTATGCGGTACTTACGCATTGAACCCAGGGCTTCATGCATGCTAGGCAAGCACTCTACATCTAAGCCACAATCCCAACCCCTCTTTTCTTATTTTTAAAAGCATAAAACATGTATTCATTGTTCAAACCCTATAGTAATTTTTGCCCATGTTTATAAAGTATTTTTTATTATAAAGAAACTGTACAGACAAGTTACAGTTACATGAGTAAGGCAATGAGTACATTTCCTATTGAACATTGTTACCCCCCTCCTTTGTTTGTCCCCTATAATCCCTTCCCTCCCCACATCCCTAACTCCTCCCTCCCACCCCCAAGTTGTAAAATTCATTTTCAACTTAGTATCTTATACATCTCATTGTTACAGTGTTGCCCACTTGTTTATTATAAGCCAAAATAGAAAAACAATTTGCTTAAAATCATAGTAGATTAATTTCTGGGACTTTAATGATAGCGTCCAGATTCTATTAAAGTTATTTAAAAAGTGCTATGCTTTATAGACTTTGACATCAATTAAAAGGTATCTTTTATCCTATCTTAGAGTTTTTCTTATCATGTTGTAGCCCAATAACCATATTGTGTTCATAAGTCAAACTCACAATTTATTGGGCTCAGTTTTTATCTCATGTATGACCAGTATATTGACCTATAATGTGATGTAGGGTTTTGTGGAACACATGATTAGTAATGCTTAATGAAATAACTTCTCCAAGAGTAAAGAAGTTAAAGAGGCCAGACGCTGAAATTCTCTTTATTTTCTATATAAGCAGTGTATAGATTCTGGAATCATGTGAAAACACAGCAGCTGGGAATAGTAGACAACGTTTAACTTATAAAATCATTGTCAAATATAAAGAAAACTTAGATGTTCTGGGTAGCACTAGATTTCAGACCCTGGTCCTTGTTCTTCCCAAGCCAATGATTTACCATTTGAGTGCAGCCTCCAGTCAAAATTTAGATACTAATTACAGGAATTTCAGCAGCAGTCATATGTAATAATCTAAAAATCATCTTCCTCAGGTTGACTTTCAAATGTCACTTAATGTCATTGACAGCCTATGTGCAATACCTTATATTGTTACTCATTTGTAACAATACTTTGAGCTAACTATTGGTTTATTACTCTAAATATCAAAAATGAAGCCAGGTGAGAGAGCAAGGCAAACACAACTTATTTGGGTTTGACTTCTGGAAATTTAAAAAAAAAAAATCTTCCCTACAGGAGAAAGTTAACAATTCTAAATGATATGATGTGGAAAAATGAATATTGTCTTTAGGATCAGACCTATTGAAAAATAGAAGTTAAATGCTAAATTACATAGTTCTGATTAGCAACTTAAAAGAACATAATTGGCCCAGTATAGGCACTTTCTGTATACAGAAAGAATGAAGAGATTGTTTTTGTAAGGTATAGCAGAGTCAGTATCAGAATTCCATTACTAACCAGGTTACATTATGTTTTAGTGGACACACAAAGCACAAATTTAATTGAAAGGGTTATGCCAAGGGTGCCAAGATCTTTTGTGACAAATTCCAAGGTGATTTTTAATCACCTGAGTCTAACAGTTGCACTTTCCCTAACACAGAAGAGAATCTAGACTGTTATATCTTAGTCAGGCTATCTCAGTAGAGATTTCCCACAACACACATATCTTGGGCACTTGAAAATAGCATTTACAGTGTTCAAGTAACATATAGTTCACCTAACAACCGATTCAATTAAGCCTATCATCTGATACCAAAAAGACAGTTGGCATAAAAGTATCACAACATTCCTTTTGGAACTTAATTTCAGGTTTTCAAAGATGCTTAAAGATGCCAAACCTTACATTTGAAATCAAATTCAAAGTTTTACGAAAACATTTTGGTTTCCAATCTCTATGTGTGCATTTTGCAATCAATAGAACATTTGAGATGAATCATAGCATAGAGGTTGAATGAAAATAAGTCACAGGTTTCTAAGCACACAACGTCTTGCACCTGGACTACTTCACTTGTTTTCATTACATCAAATTATAACTCTATACTGGCAGAGTGATGACAAGAACTTCAGACGTGGTTCGACCTGGAGAAGACAGTTTCCTCCTCGTGAAGTCCACGGAATCAGCATGATGCCTGGGTCCTCAGAAACACTGCCGGCTGGATTTAGGCTGACCACCACATCTGGGCAGTCAAGAAAAATGGCACCAGACGGTACAGTAGTGGTGCATTTTTGTTTATGAAGGCAAAGACTTGTTTAACAAAACTAATGTTATTCTCTGACCTTGCATAGCTTCCTGGGGTTTATTCTTTTCTTTACCTGTTCTGCTCTGCTTGAAATTTGCTTTGCTTTCATGAAAACCCTATCCCCTTTGTAAACTGCTAGTGCATGAACACTTGGCATTTTATCCACTATTAAAAAAATAATTTACAGCATCCTAAAAAGAACAATTGGGCTAATGTCCACTTCTAGGAATGACAATAATAGCCTAAGGATTTGTATTCCTTTATTCTGTTATTCCCAATATAAATCATTTAAAATAGAGCTTGTATAGGATCTAAAAGTCCTTAATAATTGTAAAAAATCCACTGGCATCTATGTTTTGCAAGTCTTATATATTTAATCTTGGAAATTTAGATTTGTTAGATGTGTTTACCTCTGCCAAAGGCAGAAGGCTTTAAGTAAACAGGTGCTACAATGAGAAGAAAATGAAATGAAAATCCAACAGATTTCTATTTCTATTTCCTTCTGTGGACATTAGACATATACCATTCACAAAGTAAAAAACAGTCCTTCAGCAGAAACGAATTTGAAACAGTATTTCTAAAATAATCTTTCTTTGGTAAGCATCAACAAAAACTAGTGCTATTCTCATTAAGATAATATCTAGAAAAAAATATTTTTTTAAGTAATAGCTATTATGGCTCTTAAAAGTAGTACCAACATAAATTTTGATCTTTGATCTGCATTTCTTGTAGCTTCTTCCAAATTCATGAGGAAATTAGCATGATTAAAATTAGGACAGAAGTTTGTCACTACTTAGAGAAAAATGCAAGCTAGCATACTAAATTCTTGAAGGGTCATCTTCTCAGCACAAACAAAGCACCCCAGGGAGCTGTTTTTGTTATAGACTGTAAGGAAGAGGAGCACAAAACCACTCAAAAACTCAAGTGAGTGAAATTGGGATACATTTCCATTAGTAACTGGGTGAAGAGGATGAGCAGCTTCTATCTAAGAGTAAGTCAGTGTACTGACATACTCAGGATCCCTCTATACAGAGAAAAATCTTCCTCATCTGAACTCTTGTGCTCTATCATCCAAGAACGTCTAAAGCCCTTTTCTCCATTTGCAGTTGCTTCTTCAAGACTGCAGAGGTTAGACAACTCCACTGTTCGCACATATTCATGTTGACAAGCCACTCAAAGGAGGCAGCACTGACCTGCTGTGAGTAGTTTCCCTTTGGCTGACAAACAACTAAACAAAAACAACAACAACAACAACAACAAAACTGGAACCTGCAAAAACTAGTAAATATACCCCATGCCTTGAAGTAGCCTAGCAGTACAGAGGTGGGTTCAGCCCTTTCAACTGCTAGAGGGAGAAAAAAGACTCTTCTTGATATTGTAACTGCTCCTCTCTTTTCCCCTACCATCATCTGTCAGCTATGATGTTGGAGGCTGCCTATTGGAGGCCTGTCACTCAATTATTACATATAAATGGGTTGTTACTATATTATTTTTTACTTTTTTTGAATTTTTTTTTTTACTTTTATCATATTTACTTTCTGGGGCATATGATATAGGAACAAAGCCTATTTGGTAAGAATGAAAGATAGAAACAATAGAATATTTTGCTACATCACTATAAGATATGTCATTTGCATCTAACGAAATTCTAGCCAATGGAAAGTACATTCAAATCCATATTAAATGGCACTTTATTGAAAATGTCAAGTGAGCAAAATTGTGCTTTCCTGGATTTATAAATGTCAAATGTTCAGCAATAATTTCACCTTAAACTGGACTGTACCAATATTCTCAGATTTCTATTGAGTTAATCTTTTGGAAAAAGACTTTTAAAGTGATGTGTAGAACCAAATGTGTGCACGGATGGGATGAGGAAACAGAGGTGAAGGAAGAGCTTCCCTTGGGCTGTTAAATGCCTTGAATGAAAAGCTCTACATGTTTTATTGCTGTCCTCCATCCTCATGTGGCAGCTGATGAGCAGCCTTAGTTGGGTCACTATTGATACCTGGTAAAAACAAAATCCAAAAATCATCCCTAGGAGAGATTTAACTGCAGAAAGTCCAAAGCCAACATTAAATTTTTAATTATAATTGGTATTTATGACAGCTAAGTAGACATGACCTAAGGTATATAATAAGAAGCTTCCTCAAATCCCATTTGTAGCAGTATCTACATATAATATTTTTTCAGGAACTGAATACAAATTTATTAATGAGTATTTAATATGTTCAGTGGTGCTTGCTTCTCAGCTTCTTGACTAATGAGTAGAATTACTCTTTAATTACTTGCAACCTATTTTTTTTGTGCATGGCATTCTAGTTCATCTTTCCTAGTTTTAACTAGTTTTTCTAGTTTTTCAAGGGATACCAGTAACTATAATAAGTAACATTAGGATAACTGATTTGGGTGGGACTGTAGCTCTTTTGTTATTTAAAGTAATTCATAAATTATTATCCACTCTTTTGTGACCAAAAGAGTAAGGTTAAGGTTTCCTCTCTATACTATGACTGGAAAGCATTTGTGATCCTATATCAGTTACACAAAGTCTTTGAAACACATTCTGATTTGTTGCAAATAACCACTTTTCTTTTGAAGAGTTCTAAAATATATAAACTAGACTATAAACCTATTCTGACAGGATAGTCCAATCGTGCCAATTTCTTAATGAGCAAGCTGTGAAATCTTCAGAAGGCATGCTGACATTTTGTGTGACTAGCTTTGTTTTTATGACTACTATAACTTTCCTTAAAGTCAAACAAATCCTCACATTTGTTTAGCTCTTCTGTGCAAATGTGAAGAGCAAATGTGACTTTATATCCACTATTGATTACAGCCTAGACGATTTTTCTTTCCATCATTGTTTAGGACAAGAGCCAGAGCAGGCAGGCTACATGGAGATAGATAGACCAAAGGGCTGTGGGTTGGGATTAATCCAATGGGTTGTGTGGGCACACTAACAATATCCATTACCTGTTTTAGATGTCGTCTTTTCTGTCTACTCTACCTAAAGTGCACTACCATCTAAGAAGTCGAGCAGTGAAAACCTTTGTGAAGACCCAATTCAAAGGAAATAATGACAAGTGATGGTTTATTAAAAGCTAAAAACACGATGGAGGGGAGTCTAACATTTAATTTTGATTAGTTTACTACAGTTGTAATAAAATGCTTCAGTCATTTGAATAATAAGCCTCATCCACATCGTCAACTCTGCACAACAGATGCTTTTCTGAAATGGAGCCACCTGTTTTTCATGATGTAATATACTAGGCATTTATGTACTGCTGTGTATTTCTTTTTAAATGTGTAAGTCTTCTGTAAATGGATATAAATATGATTTTTTAAAAAAATAAACTATATGGTTCATGGAGTCTGGAGTGCAAACATTTGACAATTCCAAGTACTGTTTGCATTTTACCATTCCACCCTTTTTACGAGGTTTTGAACTGTAATGAGTCAAATGGGTATGTTTCCTCGAAGCATGTTTCATGCTTCAACATGTTTCTTCTTCAAGTCTGTCAATATCTAAAGCTGAACACCTGCCTCTGATCCTGTACAAAAGAAAAACAACAATGACTTAACCTGGAACTGGAGCCAAAATAATAATAATAATAATAACAACCTCTAAAGGCAATCAGGTATGCCCTCCCTGTATCTTTGAAAATAGCACTGTGATGGCTTGATCTCCTTTTCAGAACAAAACAAAGCCAAACTGTTTACAAGAGTCAAAAACCAATTATTTTAGAAAATTTATATTAAAATACCATGATCTCCTCTTGTTGCTTGTGGATGGATCAAGAAAAATGAAAAAAAAAAACTTTGCTAAGAACTACATGTTCATTCAAAACACCTTGAACAGTCAGCCAACACTGGACATTAAACATCGGTCACTTCAGAGTTTCAGGCTCATTTCCACTGGGGTAAAAAAGCATACCCTAAACCCTTCCTTCATTTTTATCAGTGTAATGGGGCATTCGCCAAACTGGTATACAATGTTATAAACTTTTAGCCAAAATGGCCTTTTGGTGACTTCCCTGAAGTCAGTTTTATCAGAGGAAATAAATGAAAGACAGAATGACTAACATATATAGTGTATACAAAGTATAGAAGAGTGAGCTCTTCCCTGTGGATTTATTTGGTGGTGTTACTGTTGATTATTCATTGTTTATCTGGGAAATTTCAAAGTAAAGCCTATTTAATAATTCCATTTATCTAACTGCTGATTCTCTGCTGCTTGATTCTTATTAAGCGCAAGACCTGTCATTAGTAGTTTCTTTTTGTATTTTCATTTGCTCTGTTTGCACGTACATTACACTTGTTTTGATGTCTTTTTTTGTTTTAACAGATTCCGTCAAAGATAATGGTAACAAAAATCCTCTCCATTGTCAATAAAAAATACTTCCACCTCACTGTTTTAAGTTTTGGTTTCTAGTAACAACAACAAAAGAAATTCCTTGAACTGTAATGAAAATCATTCTTTTCATTCAATCTATTTAGTTTCTAAAGTGGGTCTACCACTAGAGGGAGTACATCGCTAGCTTTTGAAAGTTACTGTAAACAAAGCTTTCTAAGCTGATCTGAAATGGGGATCTTGATTCATATCACTTAACTATGATAGAAGAGGCTAGGATATAAAATGTCTGAAAGCAGACATGAATTAATCAGCTTTCTGTTGCTATAATGAAATTACCTGTGATAAATGCTTTGTGAAGAGAGGTATGCCTGGTGGCTCATACCTGTAATCCTAGCTATTCAAGAAACTGAGATCTAAGGATCGCAGTTCAAAGCCAGGAAAGTCCTTAAGACTCTTATCTCCAATTAATCACATACACAAAAAGTGGAGCTGTGGCTCAAAGTGGTAGAGTTTTAACCTTGAGCAAAAAAACTTTGAGACAGTATCCTGGCCTTGAATTAAAGCCCCAAGGCTGGCAAAAGAGAGAGACAGGAGAAAGAGAGAGAGAGAGAGAGAGAGAGAGAGAGAGAGAGAGAGAGAGAGAGAGAGAAGAGACAAAGAGATACAGACAGAGACAGAGACACACAGACAGAGTTTGTTTTAGCTCACAGAATTGGAGATTCAGATCTGAGATCAGATCAGGAGAAATGTTGCTTTGGCCTCTGGTTCACATTTCAAATGGCAATAGTGGAAAGTGGGAAGACGGTTGTGATACAAACTAGTCAGTCACCTAATGGCATGAAAGCAAATGAAATTTGAGAAGGCTCTGGGGCTTCATTCTCTCTCTCTCTCTCTCTCTCTCTCTCTCTCTCTCTCTCTCTCTCTCACACACACACACACACACACATGGACCTATGGTCCTCCCACAAAGCTCCTCCATTTTATGTTCCATAGAACCTTCTGATAGCACCACCCTGGAGGCCAAGGCTTTCTTATATGCATCTTTAGTGGACATTTAATAAAAAGCCCAATCACTAAAGTCACATTCCGCTTCTAGAGATCAAGTAAGATTATACTTATCATATAAATGAACATATCATTTGATAATACAAAAGATGCAGTTACTTCTCTCAAGTTGAAGTAGGTTTTAATTAATACTGACAGTGTCCGATTCCAAAATTCATTTGTATAGCCTGAACTCTCTGTGTTCCTCCATTTGTCTATTGACTTGATGAACTCAAATGTGTAGAATAGTTCTCATTTACAAGTGTTAAACATTCCTCTCATGAGAAAAATGGTACACATTTCTAATGATTTAAAAAGTAGTTTTTATTTTCATTTCTGAAGGTCTTATAGTAAAAACAAATCCATAAAATACCAAAAGTTACACAGAATTTATTTTAGTAAATTTAATTACATTTATACTTTTAATCACATGACTGTTTGTAAAGGCACATTTAATTCAAAATATTTTAGGTGCTATTTAGTGAAAATGCTTAATTGTAAGTATTAAAATAGAAATTCCTTTTACCCACCCCCCCCCAATTATAAGCAGTCACATGACTACAGTGTGTCTTTATTGCCCAGTGTTCAGTCATATAAAAATTATTTTCTCTGACCCTGCAAACTAAGTTTCTTCAATAGGACACAAAAATAGCTACATCTCTAGTCTCATGAACTATTTTTCAGGTCCAGTCAACTGGAAAATAACCCAAGTCTACTCGATAAAATATCCTTTTAGATATGATTACAAGATAATTGTGCAAAAGGACCAAAACTATAACTTTCACAGATTTTGTATTTGCCTTGGTGTACATCTTTCAAATGAACAGTGATATATATCCAGTTAAAGAATTTGCCACTTCAAATTAAGTACATCTCATCTGAAAATAAAATTGTAGTACATTTAATTGCTAAAATATTTTAAATGGTTCATTTGTAAATTCTACATTTATGGAAAAGCATAAAATGTACCAAACAGAAAGGAAAGTCCAAGGAACTCAATAGCTTCAAGATGGAGAATGACTATCAAGTTACTTTAATTCAAGCTAATGAAATAATTAAAGATGATTTTTTTTGGATGTAACCATCAAGAAGATAGATTATGCAATTAAACATTTAATACTTTGAGAAGACATTTTTTTGTCTATAGCCCACCAAGAGCTAATATTTTCATGCTTCCATACAAGATTTGCATTATTTTTGAGTCAACATAGGTCAATTCTCTATTATTTTTCATGTGTACTTTCTCAGCCAGCCTATGAAATTAGAACAACTTGCTCTCTATAATAATGTTTTCAAAGGGCTGAAATATTTAGAAACACTTTCAAAACCTCCCAAGATTCAATCGGCCTGGTTCCTATTTTGCATTTTAATATATGCTTTGATTACTGGTGCATGCTGAACTATGAATCAAGTCATTACTGAATTCTGTCTATTCTACATAAGTGATACAAACTAAAACTCATCTTCCAACTTCTTATTTTAAAGGATTAATAGTTTTATAGAAATTTAAGTGGAACTACATGTCCAGACATAATCATTTTTAATTTATGATGGTGTGACTTTTAAACTCAGACATTTTCTTAATATGCTGGGCAGCATACAATGAGCCATATTACAGGCAATTATTAAACAATTCAAATTGAGTCACGGAAACCAACATGGACAGGTTTTGTTCTCTACTCCTCACTAAACTGGCTCACATGAAGCCTTGCAATTCACATTTCAATTGGCAAGTAATTTCTATTTAAACATTTACTTCCATAAACAATCTAATTTCAACTAGAAAATTAACAAGATAAAGAAATGAAAAGAACAAGTAAAGTCATGAGGCCTGCTTCAGCACATCCTCTATGTGCCCAAAAATGCTGGGGTCTTCAATAGTCGGAGTCACCTGGAAGGAAATGGCATGTCAGATGGAAGCTCTTTCATGAACCCTTCTGCTTTCTGTACAATGAAACTACATGTAGTCTGATAGCTCCCCTTACTCTACATCTATGAAAATATGCAAAATATAGAACTTTGGGCCTTATATTTAAAAGTTTTAGGTAGTTTTCTATAGTAAGTAAGTGGTTCAATTAGCAAAATATTGATCATTGATGGTACTTTTCTGTGGAGTTCCTCATAAGAGGCTTTCTGTAACTTCCCATTATCTTACTATTGCTCATACAAGTATTTCTTATTATTGTCACACTTCTGTTTAGTAGACTTTACTGACAAAAAATTGTATATGTGTGCACAGATAATGTGATTTGAATTAAAAGAACTCATGTGCTTATATCAGTCCAAACTTGTCTAAAATAATTCTCATTCAAATCAGGAAAATGTTTAGCACATATGTCAGAACATATTGAGCATCCATTGCCAGTGAAAATTGTTTGCTTCCTTATTCACTCATAGTCCTTATGTTTCCAATAAAGGAAGATGCACTGTTAATTTAATAGGGTTGAGTTTTCACAAGTATTCTTGAATTTAACTGGCACAACTATTAATAGTAAAAAAAAATGTCTTCACACATATTCCTATAACTAAATCAGATGATTTTAACTACTCTTTCTCCAAGCTTCATTGTCTATACTACTTCTGTCTTATAGTAAAACATCAAACTAATGCCAGACACTGATGGCTCACGCCTGTAATCCTAGCTACTCAGGAGGCTGACATCTGAGGATCTTAGTTCAAAACCAGCCTTGGCAGGAAAGTCCATGAGACTTTTATCTCTAATTTAACTGCCTAAAAACTGGAAAAGGTGTTATGGCTCCAAGTGGTAGAGCACTATCCTTGAACAGATAAGTTCAGAGACAACACTCAGGCCCTGAGTTCAAGCCCCACCACTTAAAAAAAAAAATCAAACTAACATGCATTTTTTAGGGTTAAAATTCATGCTTGAGAAACAGCTTCTGATGCAAACATGAACAACACCTGAGAATTCATTATTGAACACACTGGACCATTTACCTTATAGGGTTTGCCATTGACTAGGGCAGATAGAGTGGACCGTGGAATTTTGCCAGATCTGGTTTTAGGTAACTGTTTGACAAACACTGCATTTCGAAAAGCAGCTACAGGACCAATGCTCTGTCTAACATGCTTCACAATTTCTTCCAAAACCTGACCTTCTGTTGCATTTATATCTAGGAAGAAAGTTGAGATAGTAAGTAGTGATTATCCCCAGCGAATCATACAGGTTTCATCACACAGGACCAGGAGGCCTTACCTTTCTTCAACACACAAAGAGCGAAGGGGACATGCCCTTTCAACGGATCTTCCTTGCCAACCACAGCACAGTCTTCCACAGTACCATGGGAAAGGACTGACTGTCATAAGAAAAAGTGCTCATTTAGAATACATATGCTTACACACAAATACGGACATGAATTTTAACACAGAGCAAAAGTACATGGCACAGAACCAAAAAGAACAAAAACAAAAAGCAACACATGGCTGCCTGTCTGAAATTTACTACTAATTCACATCATTATACTCAGGTGAATGGTTAGCATCCCCATGATAGTCAGCAAAGGTTGACAGTAATTAAGATAAATTGCTTAGCTTTCCTGGAAAGTAAGGGAATTGTTCCTCCTTCATCTTGTTTATTAATGAAGTCAGAGGAAATGTGCAGTGAATACTATATGCAAACAAAGGACAACATACCTCCTGAAACTGGTGACCTTGTGATGGTTTCGCTTGACCTTTGAGCTAGCGACACAAAGCACATGTTTCATAGGCATCTCTGGATGCTCCAAAGCAAGTTTGTTTGATAGACTATTAGGGAATAATCTTCAGACCATTTCATTCATTGATTGATGCTTCCCATTGAGAAAGAACTTTACAGGACTTGAAAGGGAAAGCTAGACTTAGACAGGAGCCCTTCTATCAGATAACTACCACCAACAGGGATCAGGGTTCAGATTGCCCCCTTGAAGCTCTCAAGCCCTCAGAGCCCAGGGCTGATATCTGCCTTGAATAGCAAGAACCCGCAGATTTGAATAAGCACATGAAATATGGATGCTTAAGGCAAAAAAAAAAAAAACTTCTGCTGTGATGGGAATTTTAAAAATGCATGTTCAAAAAGTCCTGTTCTGAGAGATTAAATTATTTCAGTGGTTCTAAAGGTCTAATACCCAGAGAACAGTAAAGTAAGTTAATTTCAGAAGTTCACTTGGCAGCCCTTATTTATTCTTCATTCATTCAACAAATGTTATGTTATATTTCCTGTGTCACAATTCTAATTCACTAGGCTCAGTAGTGAGCACAAATGGGCAGACTAACTTTTCATGGGGTGATATAGATTAGAAAATAATCATGGGTACTTCATTTTCAACATGAGCTAAATATAAAAGTAGCAAAGGCACTGAGGAAATAAAGGCATTTATATGCAAGAGACCACCAGAGCAGTTAACTTCACAGAACAACATGAACCTCAAGGAAGTCTTCTCTTACTTAGCAAATTATAACATGATTAATCAGAGGGAAGGAGGTAGAGCAAAAAACTCAGTAGAAGAACTGCATTCATATTATTCAAACCTGAAATACGCCAGTATGGATACAAAGCAGAGTAGAGTATTAATGGTAGAAGATAGCATGTACATGAGCTGAGAAGGAAAAGTATGATGAGTAAATTCTATGTCAACTTCACATTTAGAGTAATTTTAGAGTCACAGCAATATGAACAAGAAGCAGAGAATTCCCATACACTTCTGACTTCACACACACACACACACACACACACACACACACACACGCACACACACAGCCCCCTATACTAATCTACATCAGAACAATACATTTATTGTAATCAATGAATAAACACTGGATCATCATTACCACGCTGGTCCATAGTTCATAGTTCTCATTTGTCGTGTACATTCTGTGGGTTCTGACAATGATGTGTCCATCATCGAGAGACTGTATCATACAGAACCAATTCCCAACTCTGAAACCTGCCCACTCTCTCCTCTCCCCACCCCTCCCACTGCCAACACTGATCTTTTGAAATGACCTTGTATTTTTCAGACCGGCTCCTTTACCTTTAGAGTAGACACTGAACATCACAAACCCTTTGAGTTGTGTGTATAAAATGAAAAGAGAATTATTAAAGGCGAGTGTTGAAATTTATGCAGGGCAACTCTCTGTGAGGCTGCTGTTGAAGGCTAAGGTTACAGTAGAGGGTATAAAAACATTTAATACAATCTTTGATTTTTCCTTCCTTTTTTCCCCTTTCTTTCTTCTTCCTTCCTTCCTTCTTTCCTTTCTCCCTCCTTTCCTATCTTCCTCTCCTTTCCTCCAATCCCTCTCTCCTACCCTTCTTTCTCCCTATAAAAGTTTTCCTATGTGGTCCTGGCTGACTTCAAACTTTCATTACCCACATGAGTTCTGAGATTATAAAGTATACCAGCACACCTGGTCTAGAGTTTTTATAGAAGTAAAACAGACAAAATGTGATGATAAATTGGACACGTGGCATGGATAAGCCAGAGTAGTTGAGGATGATTCTGTACTTTTTGGCATAAGCACCTGGTTGAACGAACCAGTTCTATATAGATGCTAATGAAAGTTAGAGACAGAGTTGAGACTACTTATGTGTAAAGTAGTGAGAAAAAAAGCTGATAGTCAAAAGGGACTCAAACATCTAAATCGCCCAGTAAAAAAGAAGCAACTGACAAGCTACACTAAAAACAGACACAGAAATAGGGAGAAAGGAACCAACCAAACAAAACAGAGTTGAGATACAATACTTTTAAGTCACAACCTTTTCATGAGATTTTTTTTTTGGCGGGGAGGGGTCGGTCGTGGGGCTTGAACTCTGGGCCTGAGCTCTGTCCCTCAGCTCTTCAGCTCAAAGCTAATGCTCTGCCACTTGAGCTACAGTGCCACTTCTGCTTTTCTGGTGGTTTATTAGAGATAAGAGTCTCATGGACTTTCCTGCCAAGGCTGGCTTTGAACCATGATCCTCGGACCTCAGCTTCCCGAGTAGCTAGGATTACAGGTGCCTGGCTTCATGAGATATTTTTTAATGAAGCCAAATTAAAAATGAGCTTTATCTTCTCTGAACCCCAAGGACACTAAAGGAACTGCCAAAGTATTTGGTACAAAGCCAGTATACTATCTTACATTGCCTATAGACAAACAAACATCAAATCCATACTATATTGAAGTATTGTAGAATAAGCACGTCCACTTCCATTCAGTTGTTAAATAATTTCTGTACTGTTTATTCTGTTACATTACTTGCTAACAGAAAGAATTTCTTTCCAAACCATCAGTCTAAAAATCATCTGCTAAATGCATACTCTACTATCCCATAAAACACAATATTTCCCCATTTGGGTTCTCAAAATTACTGTATCTTTCTTGCTTCAAAATTTTCCTCTGATTTTTGTTGTTGTTGTTATGGATGTTGATATTGTTGTTGTGCAAGTGCTGGGGTTTGAACTCAGTGCCTGCTCAAGGCCAGTGTTCTAGTATTTGAACCAAAGCCTCCGTTTCTGGCTTTTTGGTACTTAACTGGAAATCCAAGGCTCAAGGACTTTCCTGCCAGAGCTTGCTTTGAACTGAGATCCTCAAATCACAATCTCCAGAGTAGCTAGGATTACAAGAAAAAAAATGAATATCTATTTTACCTGGAAATTAGACTTTAATTATATATGTATGGATGTTTTACATATATTTAAATACCTATATTTAAACTTTCAGTATTTTGTCACCTTCTCAGTCAAATTATTTTTATTTTATTTATTTTTTGGCCAGTCCTGGGGCTTGAATTCAGAGCCTGAGCTTATGCTCAAGGCTAGCACTCTACTTGAGCCACAGCACCATTTCCAGCTTTTTCTCATTATGTGTTACTGAGGAACCAAACCCTGGGCTTCATGCATGCTAGGCAAGCATTCTACCACTAAGCCACATTCCTAGCCCCCAGTATAATTTTAACGAAATTAAACAACACAACTTCTATTTGTCATCTGTTCACATTGTTATTTCAATTTTTCACTTTTATATCTTTACTGCTAGTACTTTTAGAAGAAGCTGGAACAAGTTGCTTTTTTTTTCCATTGGAAGAGCAGCAGGGACTGCTTTAAAATGAGAGGTTTCCTATAATATAAAATCAAAGCTTCCAATTATTAAAAGTTGGTGAGAAACAAAATCATTTTTCAGAATTTTGTTATTTCTAAATGGGGTTATTATTATAGTGAATAAAATATTAATCTATCAGTAAAGACAAGTAATAAAGGAAGGAAAGCAACTTTCTATGCTGGCCTCACAAATAATGTTGGCATGTCAGATAATGACTTTAAACAACTTACTCATTTAAAAGAAAAGCATCAAGAAAAAAAAAGCATCAAAAAGTATCTTGGCAACCTGTGAGGGACAGAAAACAACTAAATGTCCTGCAGGAGGAATGATGAAAAGCCTCCTTTATACATTCTCTCCCTGTACCCTTTATGGGGTATCAGCAAAGAACTGCCATTTAAAAGCTTAAGAAAGTATCTGAATGCAGATGGCTGAAACCTTTTATTCTAGCTAGTCAGGAAGTTGAGATCTGGGGATTGTAGTTTAAAGCCAGTGCAGCAAAAACAAACTGTTCAAATAGGGATACAGGTGGACCCATTGCTACAATGAGATGTACAAGTCCTTACGCCAAAAATGAACTTTACAACTTTGCGGGGGGGGGGGGGGGAAGAGCAAGATTGGGTAGGGTGGTGGGGGAAGGATGGTAAGGGATGGGAAAGGGAAACAAAGGAGGAGGCTACAATGCTTGATAAGAAATGTACTCATTACCTTGCCCATGTAATTGTAACCCCTCTGTATGGTATTTTTGCAATAAATAAATTAAGCAAGCCCAGCCCCCCCCCCCAAAAAAGAGAATTCCATAAGATTCTTATTTCCAATTAACCTACAAAATGCCATAAGTGGAACTGTGGTTCAAGCCATAAAGTACCAGCCAGCCTTGAGTTAAAAAGCTAAAAGAGAATACTAGCACATGTGCACATACAGACACAGACACAAAGACACACACACACAGTCAAACACACACCTTTCTCTCACTCAAAACAAACAAAAAACTAAGAAAGTGATACAACCCAACAGGTAATTATCTTACCACAATTGAGTATCTATAGGATATTAGGGCATGATAACAGGAATGGTAAATGCCTGGCCATTTTTGTATACATTTTAATTCACTTAAAAAGTTTCAAGCCTTCATTGGACTGAACTAGTGTCTTTTTCTTGAAGTATTTTTTTTAACAATTTTCGTTAAAAAAAATAGTTGCAATCAAGTACTCCCACAAGATTCTAGGATGATTGTGTGTTGGGA